CTAATAACTAATGATATTGAAAATTCTTTTTTAAAATATATTTTATTGATTTTTTACAGAGAGGAAGGGAGAGGGATAGAGAGTTGGAAACATCGATGAGAGAGAAACATTGATCAGCTGCCTCCTCCACACCCGCTACTGGGGATGTGCCCTCAACCAAGGTACATGCCCTTGATCAGAATCGAACCTGGGACCCTTGAGTCCACAGGCCGGCGCTCTATCCACTGAGCCAAACCGGTTAGGGCTTGAAAATTCTTTTCATGTGCTTATTTATAATTCTTATATCTTATTTGGTACTTGTTCAAATTATTTGCCAAATTTTGATTTATTTATTGTTGAGTTTTAAGAGTTCATGATACATGGTAAAAGTCCTTTAAAAGAGAGTGTGTTTTATGATTTGAATCCTTTTAAATGTATTCAGACTCCTTTCATGGCCCAGAACAAGGTCTATTTTGGTAAATGTTCTAAGCACATTTGAAAAGAAAGTATATTCTGCTGCTTTTGAGTGGGAGGTTCTATAATGCCAATTCAAGTTTGTTGACAGTGTTCAAGACTTTTACATCTGAGGTAGACAGACTAATAGTCCCTCAAAGATGCCCATGTCTTAATCTGCAGAATTTGTGAATATGTTACTTTCCATAAGAAAAGGAACTCTGCAGACATGATTGGGTTAAGGATATTCAGATGGGGACAGTAGCCTGGATTGTTCAGGTGGATCCAGTTTAATCGCACAAGTCTTTAAAACAGTGGTTCTCAACCTTTGCTGCACATTAGAATCACCTGGGAATCTTTTTAAAATCTTGATTTCTGGGCTTCATCCTCCAGAAATTCTGTTTCTTTGTTACTAATGTTGTGGCCCCACCCCATAACAAAGAAACAGAATTTCCAGAGGATGAGGCCCAGAAGTCAGGATTTTAAAAAGATTCCCCGGTGATTCTAATGTGCAGCCAAGGTTGAGAACCACTGCTTTAAAAGAAGACAGCTTTTCCCAACTGTAATCAGAGTAAGATGTGAGTATGAAAAAAGTGTCAGAGAAATTCAACATTGCTTGCTTCAAAATTGGAAGAAGAGGGCCATAATCTTAGAGGCTGGAAAACCTAAAGAAATGGATGCTCTCCTAGAGATTCCAGAGAGGAATGCAACCTTATCTATATCTTGATTGTAGCCCAATGAGACCTGTGCTGGACTTCTGACTTACAGAACTGTGAGATAAATTTGTATTGTTAAAGCCACAAAATTTGAGGTAATTTGTTATAGCAGCTAGAGAAAAAAACAAAACAAAACATTTGCCCATATAGTTAGCATTTCCAGTGCCCTTCATTTTTTTTTTTTTTTTAGATCCAGATTTCTTTGCTAATTGGTATCATTTTCTATCTATGAAAAAATTTCCTTTAATGCTTCTTGTTGTGATTACCAGAGGGAAAGAAGGGTGGGGGGAGGTAGAATAGGATAAAGGAAGGATAAATGGTGATGGAAGGGGAAGGAGAACTGACGTTGGGTGGTGAGCATACAATACAATAACAGAGGATGTTTTATAGAATTGTACATTTAAAACCTATATACTTTTATTAACCAATGTCACCCCAATAAATTCAATAAAAATGTTTTTAAAAAGAAAGAAAAAAGTGACAGGATAGGGGAACTATGCACAAACTTTATTACCATTATTGAGCTGTGAATTACTCTGCTCAGAAATGGCTTAAGTTGCCTCAGACTTTATACTAGTATATATCCCAAGGGGTAAAACCTTTATGTAATTCACCAAGCCTTTCCACTTCAAGGAATTTGGATAGAGCATAAAAACAACAACAGAAGTTGCTTTTTTTAAGAACAAAAGAAGAAAGTTGAATCATGAAATTGCTGGGTCATGATCTAAAATAAATATTTATTAGACAGTAAAGAGTCACTGATTCAAGAGGACTTCTAAAAATAAAAAATAGGATATGGATACGCAAGTATTTGAGAGTCCCAATGTAAATAAACTTTATCTCAGGAGTGGAAAAAATAAAAATGGTGCTTATCTTAGAATGGGCAGGACATTCCATAAAAGTATTAATGAACAGGAAAATCTGTCCTTGGAATCATACTCTCAAGCCATTTGTATCCACTGCCAACACACTGTTAGCCCAAATCTTCCTCATTAACTGCTTATTCCTTATCTGTGAGTATTCTCTCAGGTGGTGGCCTCTGCAGCTTTTACACCAAGACACTGACCTTTGCTGGCCATAATTGATTGGATCATAGAAATACCCTGCCTGGTCAATCAGATTCTTTAAGAATTTGGAATTGGGGTTGTTGTGTTGTTGTTGTTGTTGTGTATGTGTGTGTGTGTGTGTGTGTGTGGTGTGTGTGTGTTTATCTCACCTGAGGGTATGCTTTATTATTGACTAGAGGCCCAGTGCATGAAATTCGTGCACAGGAAGGGTCCCTAGGCCTGAGCGTTCTCAGTGCGCAATTTACAATCTTCAGAGCTGCTTCTTTTTATTTGTTTCACTAACTACTTCAGGAGAGTGGGTAGCACCATTATGGGGGACGGGCCAGGTGTGCCTGCTTGAGGCTAAGGGGCAGCATCGGGCTCCTGGGACACAGCAGAAAGGGGGGCAGGGCTGTCAGAGAAACCCAGTCCAAAACTTGAAGTGGGAGGCAGTGAGGGGCGGAGGGTGATAGCTGCACAGGGGCCTAGAAAAGCTGCTGGGTGGGAGCAGCCGAGGAGCCTGGTGCCTCTCACATGGGACAGGCTCCACATCCCTCCCTTTTCCTCCCTGTGACCATCACCCCAGCTCTCCTCCAAGGCTCTGCCTGAGCTCACCCTGCACAGCTTCACACCACCCCAGGGCCCACACAGCCCTGCCTGCATTGCCTTGCCCACTCCGCCTCGCCCCGCCCATGGGACTCAGGACAAACCCTGGGAGCTTCCTGACGGCTCTCACCTCACACCTCACTTTCCAGTCCAGCCCACCAGCACCCCCAGCAAGCTAATCTATTGGTTGGAGTGTCTGCTTCCTGGTGGTCAGTGCGTGTCATAGCAACTGGTCGAGCGGTTGAATGCCCAGCGGAACTCCGGTCAAGGAGGCAATTTGCATATTAGGCTTTTATTATATAGGACTAGAGGCCCAGTGCACAAAGTTTGTGCACTGGGGAGGGGTGTCCCTCAGCCCAGCCTGCACCTTCTCCAATCTGGGACCCCTCAGGGGATGTCCCTCTCACAATCCGGGACTGCTGGCTCCCAACCGCTCGCCTGCTTGCCTGCCTGATTTTCCATAACCGCTTCTGCCTGCCAGCCTGATTACCCCCTAACCACTCCCCTGCTGGCCTGATCACCCCCAACTGCCCTCTCCTGCTAGCCCGGTCTCCTCCAACTGCCCTCCCCTGCCAGCCTGGTCGCCCCCAACTGCCCTCCCCTGCTGGCCCAGTCACCCCTAACTGCCCACCCTGCTGCCTGATCGCCCACAACTGCCCTTCCTTGCTGGCCTGGTCACCCCTAACTGCCCTCCCCTGCTGGCCTGATCGCCCACAACTACCCTCCCCTGCCAGCTATCTTGTGCCCACATGGGGGGCGGCCATCTTGTGCAAAGGCATGATCATCAATTTGCATATTACCTCTTTATTATATAGGATATATGATTAATCCACCACCTTTACTATATATTTACCTCTACCAGTGAGATTTGTACTCGGACGTTTTCTTGTTACTAATTAATGCCCTTTATTCTCAGCTTAAAGAAGTTAATTTAACATTTCTTGTAAGGCCAGTTTATTGTTTTTAAATGTTTTTGATTTTAGAGAGAGGGGGAAGGATAGAAACATTGATGAGAGAGAAAAATTAATCTGCTACCTCCTGCATGCCCTCTACTGGGGATGGAGCCCATAACCCAGGCATGTGCCCTGTCTGGTAATTGAACTGCTGACCTCCTGGTTCATGTGTTGATGCTCAACCACTGAGCCACATTAGCTGGGCGTAAAGCTAGTTTGGTGGTAATGAATTCCTTTAGCTTTTGCTTGTCTGGAAAAGTATCCTTCAATTCTGAATGATAACATTGCTGGTAGAGTATTCTTGGTTGGAAGCTTTTTCCCCCCTAGCACTTTGAATATATTGTGCCAGTCCTGGCCTGCAGTTTCTTCTGAAAAATCTGCTCATTGTCCTCTAGGGTTTCCCTTGTACCAACAAGATGTTTTTCTCTTGCTGCTCTTAGGTTTTTTAAAAAAAAATTTTTTTTGATTGATTTTAAAGAGAAACATTGATTTATTTTTCCATTTTATTTATGCATTCATTCGTTGATTCTTTTATGTGCCCTGACTGGGAATCAAACCCACAACTCTGGCATTTTGGATCAACCAACTGAGCTATCCAACCAGGGTTCTCCTACTCATCTTGAAGTGGCCCTTTTACCATTTATTGTGAAGGAGCTTCCGGTTAGTTTTCAGGTCTTTTTCAGAAGGAATTGTTTCAAATGTAGTTACAGAGTGGGTGTGTCTGTAACAGATGAGCTCAGGATCTTCTTTTTTAAAAAATTTTATTACTGATTTCAGAGAGAGCAAAGGAGAGGGAGAGGGAGATAGAAACATCAATGATGAGAATCATTGATGAGCTGCTTCTTGCATGGATGGCTCCTCACTGGGGATTGAGCATGAAATTCAGGCATCGAACCAGGAATCGAACCATGCCCTGGTTCATAAGTAGATGCTCAACCACTGAGCCATGCTAGCTGGGCAAGTCAAGATTTTAGAAGTAAATTATGAACCAAAAGAGGGACAGAGACCCAAAGTGACCAGTGCCACTTACCAATTTTGTGACAGAAATGGAGCAGTACTCTCAATCACATACGAATTATTTGGGGATCTTTATAAAATGCATACTCTGTTTACTAGATCTGGAGTAGAGACTCAGATTCTGCATTTGCAGAATTTTTAGTGCAATATTTGCATGTTTTCACTCTAAATACCAATGATAAGTACACTGAAACTGTTTGTAAAAGTTCAGGGTATGTAAAAAATGAAAGCCATGTTTAAAAATTATTTATTTACATTTTAAGCTCACATTAAAAATGTTCTAAGATAGAATGGCTAAGCTGAAATATACAAGGTTGATATACACATTAACCTTTATCTGAGAAGAATCCTAAAATGGCTTTAGATGAACTCAGGTTTTCCATCACAAAACCAATGTTCCTTAAATCATGCAGTGATGTCTTCCCATAAGAATAAATTTAACATATCTCTCAGAAAAACTGAGAAACAAAAAGCTAACTTGGATTTATTATTAAACAGCTTTACATGCCATAAAACCAAAACTATTTTATGAGGCTGAGATGTTCAAATAGGTTCAAACATGATATAATGAATAAGTTTTAAATATGGAATGTTTTGGTTATTAGGCCTTGACTTGGTTTTTGGTTTACTTGTATAATTATATCATTCCAATGGTCATTCCAGGTAACCCGTTCAAAACCAGACTTGCTTAATACTATTTATTACAAAGCACTGAGTCTTCCCTTGATGGGAATACCTTTAAATGCTGACAGTAGCAACACCTTTCTTTTTCCTTCACTCAGAAAAAAAGAAAGAAATCACAAAAAATAAATTCATTCCAACATGTTAAAATCTGCCATAAAGTCTCATTCATTCTTTTTAAAAAAAGTTCCTCATAATAATACATGCCCTGGGTATTGGTACATTATTGAAATACTAGACCTGTAACAGCTCATCCGATACCTTTAAAGCGTATGACTTGGTGATCTATTTATGTAAAATATGCTTAAGATGAAATATATAATCAATGCATTTGATGCTTCTGGGGAGGACTGGCATTTAAAATAGTTTTTAAAATCTGAGTTTATTAAGAATTTTAGAAAAATAAATAAAATACTGTGGTGGTTCTATCCTTCCTTCCCCTTCTACTTTTCTTCCTTCACAAATTCAACTTAAGAGCTCAGGCTTCTAAAAAGCAGAAGAGTGTGAAACAGAACACAGGTTTTCCTACCCTCCTCTTAGTACAATGTGTTTTATCACTAAGGCAAACCTGATTTTCTTTTCTTGAAATGAAGATCCCATCATCTAGGACAGTGGTTCTCAACCTTGGCTGCACATTAGAATCACCTGGGAATCTTTTTAAGATCCCGATTTGTGGGCCTCAGGATTTTAAAAAGATTCCCAGGTGATTCTAATGTGCAGCCAAGGTTGAGAACCACTGATCTAGGACTTAATTTAAATAACTGTTCTTAGGAAGTCAAGAAAAAGTGCTTTTAACAAAGAAGCAGCTATAAATGTCTACAAAATAATTTACAACTTGTGATTTTAAAGAGTGCTATTATAAAGTTTAAAAGCAAAATCTAAACATTTTAACAGTTTAATCTCCTTAAAAGGTCTTTTAAAAAGCCATAAGCTATACTATAAATTGCCAGTTAAATTCCCATTCTAATCTACTTTACAAAAATAAACTGCTGCACAAATGTATTAAGGTAGCTATGTATTTCTCATGTTGATCTTTTTTTCCAACTTCAAAAATGCAGTAAAGTAAGAAATTAAGCACCTACATGTTGGTTAAATATACTTTCATTGGAGCAGCACTTTGATTTTGGATAAAGGGATCCTAAATGTAGTCTAAAACTTTCCAGAAAGTCACATTCACATTCATTGTAATGCATTTTATATACATAAAAATACAGATTTGTAAGAAATAAACAAATTAACCTACACTTTTCATAATGTAAAAATTAAAATACAACCTGTGATCGCATGCTATGTCAGGTATTTGAGAAGTATGCTTGTTCATTTCTGATGGCAATAACCGTGAGTAACTTGAAGCATCAGCATACCACAGATACTTAGTTTATTTATGACCTTAGCCAAGGTCTAACCCCAGTTTTAAAAGTGAAAAAGATTCTGTTAAATTCAATGCGGCAAAAGTAGTTGCATTTACTAGTAATGTTTGCCCTGGAAAAGAAAGACGAGGGAAGGCAGATATCAGATGCTTTGAGGTATAATTATACGGAAGGATTAAAATTCTTTGTCCAGGAGGAAATCAGGATTTTCTGATAAAAGCTGTCTAAAAATGCAAAGGTTTGCTTCATGAATGTGAACTCCCATGCCTTGTCAGGACTTTTATAGCGAGGACCCCTGTGTTGGCAGGCGGGACTAATAGTAGATGGTTAGGCCTGGAGGAACGCCAAAGTTCCTTGATGCAAATTGTTGTGTGGTGACTGAGTTTCTAACATATGACTTCTTAGGCAGTTTGCTTCATCTTTTGTTCCTGCCCATAAAGCAGTGTCTGCTTTTGCTGTTATACCTCTTGTAAATCAATGGGTTTGGTTTTCCTGGGATACATCCAAGTGAATATTTCTTATCGAATTGCTCTTCCACAAAAACAAATAGGTGATTGTGATGAGCTTTGTTAGTGTTCTACAGCTAATAAAGTCTTCCATCAACTGCTGGCTGATGTTGGCTACAACATAGATTTACTTGGGGGGCAAAAAGTTATCCAGTCTACAATGTTTACTGTTCTACAAAGTTCTGGTCTTCAGGCTGAATGGGAAATCCTATTTGGCACTTCTTTACCTCAGATGGTATGCCAATGCTTATCACAGTAAGAAATTCTTATCAGATTTGAGGTGTAGAGGAGGAAGAAGTGTGGAAATATTTAACTATTTAAACAAACAAGAAATAATAATAACTACTCTATAAATTAAAACCAAGGCCTTCCCCCCCCCCGCCAGATTATATTCACTAAAAGTATAGAAATAAAAATCCCACTATGGCTCTTGATATAAGACAAATAAATATGTTCACCTGATATTTACATTTTAAATTCTTAAAGAGGCCCTATGTTATGTCAGAAATACAGTTTAAAGTATTATTCCCTGAGTTCTTGAGGCAACCCCATAGGTAATTTCATGAATTCTAAGACTTTGGGGAGATTGAAACACACGTGGTGTGCTTATCTTTCTTTCAAATAGCTGTTCTCCAAAGTGGTTTGTCCAGTGCCTTCCCTATAGTTCAAATGCTTTAAGGATGTGGCCTTATCCATTTTTGTTTTTTTAGGAGACAAGCTCCCAAACGAAGCTTATAAGAAGGGGAAAAAAGACTGTTTAAAGAAAGTAAAGTTTTAACATTAGTTAACAGTGCAGTTGAGTAAATCAGTTTTATATCTATAATACATCAAGAATGATAATACTGTCATAGGTGGTAGAAGATAGAGCTCTATGGACTCTGGCATTTTTGACTTCAGTGGTTATTGAGCCCAGTTGCTGTTAGCAAGCAGAAAGTCTACCAATTAATTCAAAGAATGAAACTATTAGAAACAGAATGACTTTCCCATATTTTAAGCCAAATATATGCCTTAAATGTTGAGAAGGCATATAATTGGCTTAAAATAAAGATCAAAACAACAAAATTAATTAGATCTCAAACTTAAAATATCTGGAATTTAATAATTATTTTAAAAAACTCATTCAAAACTGGGGTTTTAAGGTTCTTGAATTGTTGTTAATATCTACCTTCTTGGTGGCTCCTAAAATATTTAAAAATTCAAGACTTGAGAATACTTCAAACAGTGAAATATGTGAATATTTGCTTGCAACTCCCATTAAAATCTATTTTGAAAAACTCATTACAATGAATGGAAACTCCAATTTTGTTGCTGACAGTTTTAGGTTAGGCTTAACTTGAAGCCATTCAAGGTTTTTTATATTAAAAAAAAGAAAAAATGGTCGAGAGAACCTACTGAAATGTTCCATCCATTTCAGTAAAGTGCACAAACATGAATATATCCTTTGGCTTTGCTATGACCTCAAGGGAGGGGTAGAAATCAATGGTGCTGGTGTCAGATTCCTGACTATATTGCTGAGGCTGGCAATCTTCTCTTCTAGGAGGTAATTTTTCTTCTCGGCTGTTTTTTGTCGCTGTTCAGTCATTTCGAGAGCTTTCAACAACTGGGCATTTTCAACATACAAATCCTTCACCATTGCATCTGCTTTAGTATTCTTGCAGAGCTAGAAACAGAATCAGAAACATCTTGACTCCATTTCTGTAATTCTTTTAAAGTCTGACATAAGGGCAGTTGTTTATAAAGGCAAATAGGTTCTATCAATTATTTTCTTTTATTTTACAATACAGCTTTAATATCAGACTGGCATCAGAGGTACAAGTGGAGCAAATCCACTTATGTCAAGCTGTTACTTTGCATAATATGTTTGTAGAAGTCACTAATAAAAAGAACAAATTGATATTTGAGGGTAAAAAATGAAAGTGTTTTCCACCTAAATAAATTGGGTAATATTTATTCTCTAAAAATATTATAATTTATAACTTAACATTTCTGAGTTTTAGGGTGTGAACTGTGTTTAATCCTGTTCTTAACAGTAGATGCTTGAGCTTCCCATTCATACCTACAACCTACCGATTATTTTAAAATGTGGCTCATGTGTTATAACAAAGAGATAAGATTTTCCTTAACTCCTCCTCTCTTGCATAGAGCCTTGTACAGAAGACATATTCTAATAATTATGGTTAGAACATATAGTCTAGGTTAGGGTGGAAAACTTGTCAGCAGCCTTGGGATAATTTTATTATTGCTTCTGTTAACATTTTCTAATCCATCTTCCCTCATTACACCTTTAACTCCTCATTTACACCCAATTTCAAGCAGGACATCTAAAAGTATAAAGGCTGAAGGGACTAAAGAGTGGCTAATTAATTTACTAACATTTCATAGGGCAAGGATGAAGCCCAGAAGCTAGATGACTGGCGAGTGTAACATCGTAACCTACTCTCTATTGAACTGTTCTAATACAATTTTTTCCCTCCCTCCCTCCCATTAAAAGGCACTTTGATGGTTCTTTATCATCTAAAGAATGACATTCAAACCCCAGGGCTCAGCATGTAAGGCCCTCTACTGCCAGCTCCTCCCCATCTCTCTAGTTTCTTCTCCTGCTTCTCCCTGGACAGTGTTGTGCCAAACTATTAATGCCAAAGTGTTTGCAGATGTCCACACCCCATATGTTGTCATAGTTCCATGATGTTTCCATAGCCTAGAATGACCTTCCCACATTTCTTCACCTCTTAAAACCTTACTCAACCCACAATACTAGATTTGAGGTCTTTAGGAAACTTTCTTTAAACTCCCTGGGTTGCGTCAAGTATTCCTTTTGTGTTCCCTTCTACTGAAAATAGAGTGGACACCGTTTTCTTTATTTTTGAAACTACTACTGGCCATATGCTCAGTACTTTGTAGGTGAACTACACTACATGTAGGCAGAGATATTGTTTTGTTCACTTCTGTATCCCTAGTGCTTAGAACAGTACCTGGCACATAGTAACTATGTATTGAATAAATTAATTAAAGGGTTGAATCAATAAATGCTTATTTTACAGGACCTTTTCTTTTCATTCTGTGTATTAAGATAAAGGACATTAAGACCTCTGCATTAAGACCCTCTCTTGGCATTATTCTTCCTAATGTTATGAATCCAGAAAACAATGTTGGGCAACTTTCTCCTGCCTAACCAACATTTTTTGTTAACCCCTACCAGTTCATCTCAAACTTTCCTAGAAACTAGTCCTTGTTGCATGTCTCTTCAGTGGATGTACATATAATTTCTAAACACAGAGGCCATACCTGCCACCAGAAGGTGAAAAGGTTCAGGCTGCTTGGTGATCTTGGAGTTCAGGGTCTGCATTCTAATTCAAAGCATAGCCTTTTGAGTCTGGTTATAAGCATAAGGTATTTTTTGAGGTTGTCCTGGCTGTTGCAAACAGGAAAGCTAAAGTTCTATATATTATCCTCCAATTTTTTAACAATATATATTTTCTGTTTATTTAAGTAGGAATACTTCCTGTCTTGGGTAAAAAAAATAAAATCTGTGAGTCACTGTTAGCAAATACACATTTTAAAAATTGTGGACAAACATAGGCCTTAAAAGAGCTTTGGAAAAAAGAAACGTGGAATACAGAATTCATATTTTTGAAGGGATATAGGGGAATGTGAATCCTCAATTCTTATATACATTCATAGTAGAATTTGCCTTTATTAGACAACAGTTAAGTTAATGGCAATAAAGGAATGTAAAACTGGAGTTAAAAGTGGAATGTAAAGTGGGCGGGTAGAGATGACCTGGGAGGCTCACTTGTTCTTTGAGCTGATTCACTTTCTCCTGAAGAAGCCTTTTCACCAATTTCAATTTCTGTTCAACTTCCATCATTCGTTCCTCCATGGCAGTTACCAGTTGTTCCTGGTTTTCCTGAAGGGGGGAAAAAAGTATTATCATTTGAAAATCATGCCACACTGAAATGAAAACATTAGTAGTCTATTTTCCCCATAAGATGTCTAGAAAAAGGAGAGCAACTGTTTGCCTCTGTAACAGGAAGGGTGGATTTCTTATGAAATGGGAGTTCTGAACACTGCATGGGTTGTGCATGTTAGAAAACTAATCCTATCAGAGAAAGAATCAAAGATAAAAAAAAGAATCTTACCTGTGTTACCATCTTCCCCTGAGATAAAGCAAAATTCTTAAAACCCATAATTTAATACTTGTGTGCACTTTTTGTAAAATAGGGATCTAAAGTAAATTAAAAGATGGATATTAACCTTCCATCTGTGATTTGGGTCTTTGCAATACTGTGGGCCTCTTAACAACAAAACAAAAACTGAGTGTATTCAGGGTTGTCTAACATCTCCAAATCGGCTTGCAATATGCATGTCTGTTTTTCCTTCGAAATGGCTGATTACTGGGGAGGTTAGTGATAATCAGCCTCTTCCCACTTATTCTACTCATCTGTTTCCAGTTTGACTTGTCAATGTGAAGAAAACATCTGGATTGGAGGGTGGGTTTATCATCTGAACAGATTTAAAATTAAGGATCTTCTCCCCACAAACAACTCCTAGATAAAATAGGGCAGCAAAAGAGCCCTGGCTTCTCTCCTCACGCAACAGTGACAGATCAAGAAATATGTGGGCTCTGGAGAGAGATTTAGAGTACAATTGACTGCCCCTCCCCACAGTCCTCCAAAATGTTCACATAAGGAGTTTCAGATTTTAAAAGGTTCTTCAAATGTTAAGCAGGTGTTAGTGGCTGATGGCATAACCAGCCTTTAAAAATATTCTCAAAAAGGCATCCTTTAAAAAGCACGCAGAATGACCAAACATGAGTTGAAAGCCAACATTTGTTTGGTTATTAATTAAGAGCATCTCTTCAAAAATAAAAGGAACAACTAAACCATGTTATTGATTTGAAGATAAAAATCATAGTAGGCAAAAGCATAATGTAGAAAGTAAATTTTAAGAAATCAGACTTTGAGAGCATCCAGCTTTTTAAAAAAAATCCTATATTTTAAGATATAATAGCTTTTTAAAAATTCAAACTAAAAATAGAAAGTGCCTGATTTCCATTTGCCTTCAAAATTACTAAACTAAACAAACAGAAAACAACAGTTAATTAATTCAAAGAACATGGAGCATGGGCAAAAGAATGGGGAAAGAGGAAAAACAAAGGCAGTCATATTTAAAGTTCATTTTATTGTTTCATCAAAATTTTCCTTTTTCCTGTCAGAAAAGTACTGTACATCTTATACAAAACAGTATAAATAAACCCTGTTTTTCTTCAAATTCCATATATAAAAGTAGTACCTTTTATTAAAAATAGTTACAACATATAGAATGAGAAAATATATAGAACACATCCTTTCAAAAGAATCTCAAATCCACTCTTTAAATGGTATAAATAAAATGATTTGTAACAAAGCTGAAATTTGTGAATTTGATTCACAAAATTTGTCATTTCTACATAAATAAATAAGAGACAGAATACTGCAAAGGCGTAATAATAATAATAATAATAATAATAATAATTTAAAAGAGCACTTGATTCCGAAACATTCCTCAGCTTATGCCTCTGTGTTTGTGTGGTGTGTGTGGTGTGTGGGTGTGTGCATCTGAGTGTCTGCCATGGTAAGAAATGCCATCAATAGCAGCCCAGTTTTCACAGGTGCCCAATCCTTCTGCAGGAATCTGCATGCACTGCGCGCTGCTCCGGTAGCAAGGCCTAGGGAAAGAAGGCAAGTGGTACACTTCACCCTGATGTCCAGAATATGTTTTTTTTGGGGGGAATCTAAATTCACACATTTATAATGCAAACAGTTTTTAAAAGCACACACATTAACACCACATGGGCAAGCAAAGCAACACAAAGAGAGAAGAAATCGCATCACTCCATGCACCAGAGACAACATGCAGGTTCTAATAATATTCTTAAAATTAGTGTCCGCTCCATTACAGAAGCAGGAGAACCAGTAGTGGCATTCTCGTGAGAGCAATAAGCAGGCCACCCAGCCGTCTGACTGGAGAGATTTTTTTTTAGTATAAAAATTGTAACGTTTTTTTTCTACCTAATCCTGAAGTAATTGGAGTAATGGGATATTTATTTTTAAACCTTGGTGGGTGGGTCGGGAAGAGCATGCTTTGGAAATGCTGTGTCTGAGAAAGCAGTGAGTAGAGTCTTAGCCTAATCATTGGTTTGAAATGTCCAGTAAATCTGAGGTCAAGGTTTTATAATTCAACTCTGTAATGAAGAGTTAAAGCATCTAATACCTCACCATCACAATTTTTATTCAAGAGTTTAATTTTAATATTTAATTGAAGTGGAGTGTAGTATAAAAACATGGATTTTAAAGCACAAAAGAAAAAATTTGTTACGGTTTTGTTGGCAAGAATAGATGACAGAAGTACATCATGACAAAGCATAGATATATATTTGGAGAAGAAAAGACAACTGCTCTAATGTATAATTATAGTGTTAATGTGACTGTGCAAAGCCACTTTGGGGGGATTACGGAAAAAGAGTTGGGAAACTCCTTATCAAATGTTAACTGAGAAGCAAAGTATTTGAAAGCAGAAAAGCATCCAAACCAGAAAGAATTAATTTAGAATTCTATAAACTGAGTATTTTAAATTTTATTTCTAATTCTTAATAAACTAAATGTGCAAGACCAAAGAGTTAAGAGACTTCTGGAAAGGGGTGATTATACATGAAGAGAAATAACTATTTGAAAATCTAGGTGATATAACACTGTGCCTGGTGGTGAGCTGGGATAATGCTAATTGAAAGGGAAGGGGAAGATCTTTACTATCTTAAAAATAGTTTTTTTTATATATTGTAGCTGGAAAAACTCTAAGTTAAGTGAACTATGTCATCTAAAGAGTCACTGGCTGCACATTCAGCTTTGTTAGTTGTGAGAAGTCCCCAGCTGTGAATTCCATGGAACCAGCAGGCTGCACCCCTCTGACCAAGAAAACCCAGGAAGCTCTGTTAGTAATGCGTCTCCTAGAGTTGCACTTGAATTCTGTAATATTTTGGCATCAGAGAAGAATATTAGGTCAATTGTTCACTATGTGCAAGTGATCCTGATACTTCATCAATTATGAATGTGCAAAAGAGACTCAGAACACTTAATTCCCCAGGTGAGGAGCTGAGCGCTCACAAGCAGCCCTGAAGAAAACAAAACAAAAAAGGCACTGCACTTCAGTGGGTTTGTAATACAGGCAAGGTGTAATCTCCCACAGAAGATTTACATTCTTGATCTCCACCTTTCAACTGGCATAACTTCCAATAAACAGGTAAAATTAAATGAGGTGATCTGAGCTTCTAATGAAGGGGGAAAGCCTCCTACCTGTGGTGTGTTGGTTTCAGAGGTTCTGTTTTCAGGTTCCTCCTGCAGGCGCTGGTTTATCCTTTCTGCCTGCAGCAGCTGGTGTTGAAGCTGCAGAAACTGCTCCCTGGGCACCATCGGGCAGGCTTGCTGCTGGAGAAGCTGCAGATCCAGTGCGTGAGGGGATGGGCTAAGCATCACAGTGGACTTCAGGTGCTGCATCTGGAGAAGGGCAAAGCCCTGGTCAGCAACAGTGCCTTCCCTCACAGAGCTGCCCTTCGAGGTGTTAAGCAGAGAGCAATGAAGCCTGACCCCCGGGTAACTTGTAAATCAGGAAAATGCATGAGTCTGAGTAAGAAGTAAATGGGAAGAATCATTTTGCTTAGGAGATAATAGGCATAACCCATGGACGCAGATAACAGTATGGGGAAGGCCTGGGGGAGGGGGTACCATGTGGAGGGGGTCAATGGGGGAAAAAGGAGGACATATGTAATACTTTCAACAATAAAGATAAATTAAAAAAATAAATCAGGCCTTCTTAAAAGTTTTAGACTTAAAATTGTTCTTCCTCACTCTTGAGTGACAGTAAGGGTATGAGGTACATGGTGTCCATAATGTCTGAATCCTAGCTCATTTTTTTACTTACACTGGAACTTTTTACTTATCCCTCTTTAAGAAACAACATCCACCACCAGGGTTGGAGTAGGCAAAGGGGAGAAAGTGGTTATGCTTTAGGGATTGCTATTTTACTTACCATTCATAAAGATTCTTAAAAGCAAACATTCAATGGCGATGTGTTTTTCAAGTTAGCAATATGTTTTTCAAAGAATCTCGCATCTACAATTATTTTAACCTAGCCTAGCTTGTCAATGTTATACTCTTAAATAGCACAGTGAGACAAGCAATTCTAGGGTATAAGGAGATATCCCAGAACATCTGGGAACTGAAGTACATGGAATAGAAGTATTTGTTCAAGATAACGAGGAAATGATGTGTGTTATCACATGCCAATCAAAGGTGGGGAGAGGAAGAAGGAGCAGAGAATGCACTGCATTTGGCCAGTGAAGCATGCCAGTTCACATCTGTCGACACATTTCAGCAGCACACAGGACTCGATGGGAGGCATGCAACAAATATGACTAAGTACTAAACTCAAGTAGGACCCCCAGGCTTGTGAGAAGGGAAAAAGGGCCTCTAAGACACCACTGCAGGGACATGTTATCATGAAACTTCAGAGCCACTATCCATTTCTTTAAATCTAAATGTCTAAGGTGGGCCATAGACTCAGAAAAGTCACCACTTTATTTTCAGGAATAAAGGAGTATATGGAGAATTATAAATCCCATGATTTTATATCATTGGGATGATTTTCATCACAGGTCTTCAAACACTGAGTTTTAGATACTGAGGAAAATCCTATGTAAATGTAAACAGACATATTCCACAGTTAAAGCAAAATGAAAATGAATATTGGCTCTTACCTGAAGTACTTATTAACTATTATAGTCAGTAGAAATGATTACATGTGCAAGGAATTTAATGAGATGTCTCCATGCTATGAAATTCATTGAAAGAGAATGTTCTACCTTCACACACTAGCTCAGGCAGAGAACTGCACCCTTCTCTGCTAGTTCCAACCACAGAGTTCTAGGTACAGGTTAGCCACAGACAAAACAAAAACAAAAAAAAAATTACAGGAATTATAAAGAGAAGAAAAGTATTAGTTATAAAAAGAGAAAGAAGAGTACAAATTGGGTATATTATATACCTGGATATATGTGCTCTAGTCAGTAAGAACTTATAAAGGACCAACAGTTACATTTTTTCTGTATATAAACTGTACAGATATAAAAAGATTTGGAAGTAGGTGGTGATGCTTGTAGAACATCATGAATGTAATTAACACCACTGAATTGTATATTTTAAAATGGTGAAAATGGCAAATTTTATGTATATATTTATCACAAGTTTAAAAATTAACAATATATCTAAAAACACATTGAATTGTACACTTTAAGTAGGTGAATTGTAATGTGTGGATTATATTTCAATAAAACTACTAAAGAATCCAATTTGTATATGTGTATACAGAGTTAATAGTGAAGTCTTACTAGTATTTTCCTAAAGAAAGTTTTGTTACAATAGTGTATAAGATGTTCTTTTCAGTGTTCCAATAAAACATTCATGCTTTTTCTTTATTCAGGCTCTAGTGCCAAGTATACTCCCTCATCCATTTGTAAATATTTACTATTAGATCAGGGAGAAAAATAGTGAGGGAAAATTGCTTAGGACAGCAAATAACATAAAACAGGGTTGGGAGGTAAGGGGCTTCTGAGAGCAGGTGAGAGAACTGGCCTGTTGGCAGTGCTGGGAGAGGCTCCAGTATTGATTAAGTATACCCTGTCACTTTTCAACTTGGCTATGCCAGCCTTAGCTTCAACCATGTTATTGATTACAGTATATAATTATTTCATCAGAAAAGCATATCTATGTCTAAACACAGCCCACAGCTCAAGGTTTTGAACACATTTATTATTTGCTATCAGAGAGAGAGAAAAAATGGTTTGGATTTCACTATTTATAGCTCACTAATCTATTAGTGGATAAAATCAGAGGATATAATAGTTTCAGAAACCTCAGTGGTCATTTAAATGTCAATGTGATATATTTGCCCATATTTCACATTTAAAACCCAAGCATCTATTTAAAGTTACCTTTGCACGTGCCCAGCTTCACAAAATTATGTAAACATCTCTCTCCCTCCCTATAATTCTTGCTTAAACATATTTGTACTTTTTAAGAGCACAAAAAAGACATTTCCTACTCATGCTTCTCTACCTTATAGAGATTTTACAGTTCACTAAACGTTGGGTTAATATTTTCATCTACCTAAAGCAAAGTATCTCAATGAAATTACAACTTATTAAGGAGGATTTGTACCTAAGTTGTTTTACAGCCTCTAACTGTTCTCAGTATTCAGAAAGCAATCTAGTAGACTGAAACCCAATGTCCAGGCTGACAAGTTTTACAAATCCATCTTTATATTTAACAGCTCTACCTCCCCCAAGTTAGTTACTAATGTAATGAGCAGTGGCAACACTTGTAAGTTAAACTTCGAAATGCTAATGCTCTCATAATCTCTGCATGGATTTCCTAACTGAAGAGGTTGTTAGAGAGCAATCATATCTATAAAACACTGTAATATGGACGGGATCAGGAAATTATTACAACCATAGCAATGGTGAGAGAGCCATAGGTTTCTTGGATAGTTTTGGACAGAGTCCCTGCTGAGGTCCTTATGTTTTATGATAATCACCATTGTTCCTTCCTCTGTAAAGCAGTATGAGTTCCTATGACGGTGTATTAAGCTAAAATGTCCATCACACTTGGCAAGATAGACCAAAGAATTCAGCTTGGTTGGCAACATACTTAGATTTTCACTTTTTCATAAGACGAATTCAATGCTATGCTAGTCTCTTCCAACAAATGGCTCATTCATGGATTAAAATATTCTTCATAGCTAAGGCCATTTGCGTAAAAGCTTACCTCCATTAGCTGCTCATCCAGTTTTACTTGTTTCTTTCTCAGGCCTTCAGTTTCCAAATGAATTGTTTCTAATTCTCGTTCAAGGGAATTCATTTGACTGACCTGTTAAAAAACAAAAAATTCCCTTTAACAAAACAAAACAAACCCATCTGAGTTGCTCTACTTTATTTTGACAAGTTTATGCTCGTCAGAAATCTCAGCTCTTGGAAGAAAGCTGAATTCATTCCTTGAAGGAAAGCAAACAGTATAATTCAGTGCATGTATTACATTTAAGTAATCTAGTTTTAATCACCACTCCTTATGTAGAGCAGATTCCTTAAGGGAGTAGGCTTCCAAACGTCAATGCCACTCACTGTATAAAATACATTTTACCTTGCAACCCAGACAACACACCCACACCCACGAGTCTGTGTACCTGCATAATTAGTTATAAGTACTTATCACTGAAAGACAACTTTCAGAAATAGTACTTACCCTACCATGTACTGACATTTTGTAGAATAGCTTATTAATAAAAAATGCTGTGTCACTAAATCCATTTTATGATTCTCTACTATGGATCTGTAGTAGATCCATTTTAAGGCAAAGTTTAAAGATTTAAAACTGGGACTACATAAAACCTGATTTTTATAACTACTTTCTCAATTTTAAAGATGAAATTTAAAGACTTTATGAGTATCCATTTCTGGAATTCTTTTTATTATAGGAAGAATCTAATTAGCAAACACTGTGATTCTGAATACTGCTAAGTACAACATATCTGACAATATTCTATGATGTTGACTTTTGCTTCTATCAAAAGAGATGAAGAGAGTAGTGAGAATTGTTAAACAGAGTGTAATCTCTCAAGGTACAGTTAAATTTCTTATGTTAAAACTTATCATTAGACTTTTCCCTTAGTGAGAAGCTGAATGAAACCCACTGTCTTTCCTGAAAAGTTTACTTGAATGTACCTAAAATTAAATGGCATTTCAGCTTTAGAGCAGTGTTCTTACTGCCAATGCTCATCATAACTTTCACAAACTTAAAAAAAATTATGAATTAAAAATTTTTTTTTAACAGAATCAACCTGCCTTCTTTCCCCCCTCCTTTTTATTGAATTTATTGGGGTGACATTGATTAACAAAATTATGCAAGTTTCAGGTGCACAGTTCTACAGCACACTTTTGTAACTAAGTAAATGATCATTATTCTCATCAGATTTTAAACAAACCATATGTTTCAGAAAAGGAAGGTAACAGTGAAAACTCTTGAGTTTTAGTTCAGGAAAAGAAAGAAAAAACATGTAACAATAAGAACTCCCAGAGTAACAATGGTCCAGAACTCTTAACTTAGTGGAACAAGGAACTGAACTGTGTTACAAAGGTTTAACCACGGTGGAGCCAGCCTCCAAGATGGTCCCCTAGGATCACCTCCTTCCTGGTCTTCACACCCTTGCATCATCCCCTCCCATACTCTACCAGGGTTAGTCTGTGTGACCAATAGAATAGAGCAGAACTAACGGTGTGTATCATTTCTGGGATTAGCTTATAAAAGGTACTACAGCTTCTGTGCTGGTGTTTTTTTGGATCTCCCTCTCTCATATCACTCACTGCCACATCCTTAGAAAAGGCCCCGGGAGTGAGGGGCTGAGGCCTCTGGAAATCAGTCAGCAGGAAAAGAAGCCTCCTCCGAACAGGTATGTGAATGAACCTGGAAGTGGATCCTCAGCTGATATCTGGACTGCAACCTCATGACAGACCCTGAGCCAGGAGCACTCAGCTAAGCTGCTTCTGAATTCCTGACCCTCAGAAACTAAGACAACAAATGTGTGCCGTTTTGTGATATGGCAACAGATCATACAGACCTTAAAATGTTCCTGATTTTCAGGCTACGTATACTCTACTAACTTATAAAGGCTTTATAATACTCATAAAGATGACTAGCAGTCTTCTTTATGAAAGCTTAAAGTTAATCGCTCCTTTTCAAACATCAATCAAAAAGAAGTATACTGTTTTGACAAGATTACAAGAGCACAGACATAAGGGAGAACAAAAATATGCCCTTGTAGTCATCTCCTTGGAAGCAGGCAGGGGAAGAAACACATACTTAGGGACCCATCACAGTCAGAACGTAGACACATGGTTAAACGCGTAAAAACTCACCTTCCTATTCGCAGGAGATCTTTCCTTTTGAAACTGTTCGCACTCTCTTTTCAAGCTCAACTTCTCCTGCTCTGTGGGCTTCCCAGTACCTGATGCATTTACCTGTGCTTGGTGCATGGGGGGAAGAAGGCTGGATTCCAGTTGACGGACCTAGTGAGCAAATGTAAGAGAGAGATGCTAAGATGATCACCCAGCCAGGAAAACAAACAACGGACATAAAGCAAGTTTTTATACAGCACTTGGGTATTATTGTATTAAAAACACTTTTTTTCAGTCAAGTCTGCTAGTTTTCGAATCCTACTTTTTTTGTATATCAAAAGATCATTTCTAGGTAAATCTAATTTTGGTTTGATTGGCTCTAAAAACTCAACACTGTAAAGAACAGACAGGGAAGGAGGGGACTTCCGGCTCTACCAAACCGCTGGGAGGAGGGTCAAGGAAGTAGACGTACGCCCAGCACTTTTGCTCTGCCATGAGCATGACCTGTTAGGAGTGAATGAGGTGACAGTCCCTTCCACTTTGTATTGGACTGTTCACTCCTGAAACAATATATTTACATCAACTAAGTTCCAGGAGGACAGTGACCTTGTCTGTCTTGTGCAGCACCGCAGCTCCAGTGATAGCAGAGTTGCTGGCACACAGTAGGTGTTCTAAATGAAAATCTGTGGCTCGAGGTGATTAAGTAAAGGTGAAACATAGTTGGTTCACTACTTAGTACAAGTAAATAATTTAAACATCAGTTTAGTGGTCGGAAGAGATGATCTTTAATGACCATTCTAACAGTGACAGAAGGAGACTTGACTTGGGGTAGTGAACACACAATACAATATACAGATGATGTATTGTACACCTGAAATCTATATAATTTTATTTACCAATGTCACCCCAATAAATGCAATTAAAATGCATTTGAGATTTCAGCTATGCTGTCATGTATGCAGATGTTCATTCCTTTTCACTGCTGAATAGTATTTCCTTGTGTGGATGTGCCACAGTTTGTTTTTCCGGGTATTTGGGTTCTTTCCAACTTGGCATATTAATAAATCTAATTTAGACATTAAAAAAAGACCATTCTAACCTTTAAAGACCATTCTAAACTTGAAAGATTTAAATCTAATGTTTAAAACCATTTTAACCTCTAAACCTTGAAATAACCTTTCAAGGGGGAAACTTTTCTCTTACAAGGAGTTAGACCAACAAGATTTGAGTCTTGTTTTACCATTTTTCTACTACTAGTCTCCGTGTCCAGCCTATTTAAAGAGGAATATATGGTTAACACTCCCATGAGTTTATGTTTTGGATATGAGGATTAAAATCACAGATTTATTTTTAAAAATATGTTTTTATTAATTTTAGAGAGAGAGGAGGGGAGAGGGTGAGAGAAAAACATCCATGAGAGAAATATTGATCTGCGGCCTCCTGCATGCCTCCTACTGGGGATCAAGCCTGCAACCTGGGAATGTGCCCTGATGGGGAATTGAACTGGTAACCTCTGGGAGCACTGGATGATGCTCAACCATCTGAGCCATACCAGCTGGGCTAAAATCACAGATTTTAATACAGAACTGCTTATACAAAATGAAAACTATTGTAGAAACATACCAGGATAAAATTAAATGAAAGTAAATGATAAATTATACATTCTCAAAATAAGTCTGCTGTAACAGAATACTCAAATCCACACCCTAGAACTATTTTAAACATATAAAACATTCATTTTCACATCAAAGTAAGCATTTTCAGACATATGCCACCATGTGCAACTTTTCCAGTTACCTTGTCCCGGGAGTGTGTGAGTTCTGCTCTGGTGTTCTGCACCACAGTCTGGAGTCTCTCGTTCTCCTGCCAAAGCAGCTGTTGTTCCTCATTCCTTAGATGATCCAACTTGTCCCAAGACAGCCGCTGCTGCTGGTTATGGAATCCTGATGGGTGGGTGGCTACTTCTGGGGCCCAGTTCTTAAGAGACAATTGCAGAGTTAAGCCTTAAAAACAAAGCTGATTTCTGTGGTCAGTGTCATGCTTACCTAATGACAATTCTTAGTAGGTACCTTTCAACCTTTACCTTTGTCTTCTAATGGGAGTGAATGTATGTATATATAGATATAAATAAAACAATGTTATGGGTGTTTGAACAAAAAAAGGTTTGTAAACTCACTGTTTAAAACGGTCTTTGGTAAAATAGCCCCATCAAGTCTAACAGCAAATGGGATTGTTCGACAAGTCCCAGCTCCATACAGGACACGAATACATAGAGATTGGTGGCCATACAAACTGCCTCATTCTTATGAAGTTATGCTTTGAACCCAGATAACTGCTCTTTTGATTAACAGGGGACCCCCAGGGGACTCGGAAATGCACTGCTAACTTGAACGCTTTCACAAGCTCAAGTCTACTTTCATTTTCACATATGCAATCATATCCTTTTTCAGATTGCAAAGCACATATTGTCCATGTGATTGAGGCCTGAACACAGAAATATACTTTAAACTACCAAAGCGATTTTTTTTTGATCCTGAAAAATGCTTTAAAAAACAAAAAAGGTAACACAACTTGATAAACCTTTTAAGTTAAAACATAAAAAAGAAAAAAAAGGCACCATCTCATTTTGAGAAAAAATGTCAGCTCAGACATAATTTTTAAAAATGGAAACAACTATTAAGAGATGAAGTAACTGAAGTAATGCCTACTTTTATGGTAGGGCATCTCAAAATCTACTTAGGGCTGACATCCATAACATTTTCTGAATTTATATGTGCATAGATGAAGCAGCATTGTGATATTAAGATGAGACACACTTTCTACAACATCAAAATGTTTTAATTTTACAACAAAATAACTTAGTCATGGTCTTCTGACTTTCACAATACCAAAAGTTAACTTGTCATGATGGTTCTATTTATATAAAGTTCCAGAACCAGTGTCCCTAATCTATGGTGCAGAGGGTGGAATAGTGGTTCCCTTGAGGTTATTGACTGGAGGGGACAGATGAGAGCCTGCTGGGAACTGGGAATGTTCTATATTTTGAATGAGGTGGCGGTTAAACACACACACACACACACACACACACGTAAAATATAACGTTTTACATATATGTGTATATAAATAATCAAGTTATATACTTAAAATGTGTACACTTTACTGTATAAAGTTAAACCTCAATAAAAAAATTACCTTGTCATCAGCATTCTGAAGCTGCTTACATAAAGACATCACTTCTTGTTTTAAAGCCTCCTTTTCCTGCTGAGTCACTCGTAGGTCGGATTTAATCCGGGACATCTGCAGGTTTACATTCTGTAGTGTGTCCTCTAAACTCTGAACCTGCATCATGAGAACAACCTTACACTGTGACCCAAATCCTTGTGGTCTCACCAATAGCATGTCCAGGGATGATGAACGAGCTAGGACAAGATAACACCTAGGTCCCTTCTGTTTCTACTTATTATATCCAGTTCTCTACTGTAGCTCTGTGGAAACCCAGTATATCATGTATACTTACAGGATGTTAAATGATATTTATGACGATGATGAACTATGCCTGGAGCAGGTATTGCTGATATATTACCAAGTGATATCTTACAGAATCAATGAGGACCAACTGGCATCACAAAAGATGGTTTTACCTAATTTTATAGAAATTGTAAAAATTTCTGTAACAATTTTAGCCTGTGGTGTTGGTTTGTAAAGGACATCTTAGTTAAAAATAAGAAGATATACTGGTAGAACCCTAGGCTACCATGTTAACATCTCAGTTAAAAAATTAAATTGGTAAAAGAAATGTTGATAGAGATCTTTATAATAGGGCATGCACCTGCCTTAGAAATTCCATTTCTAAATGTGGAACAAGCAGTCCTTTTTACACATTATTCTCAAGCTTTTATAAGTAAGTAACCTCATAATGATAATGAAATTTGAGGGAAATATTCAAATTATTTCACTACACTATAAGTCTGTATCAACTATTAGTCAAACTGAATCACTCTGAGTCCTTTTAGGCCACTCCATTCTTTCCACTGGGGATTCTACTGGAAGACAGAGGAACACATTAACTGTGCAGATGAAGCAAGAACTGTCCACACACCTTTTCCCGCGAAGCCGCTAGCTGCAACTTTAAGCTTTCACTCTGCTGTTCCCAAGACTTCTGTTCTTGCTTCATAGTAGCCATTCTGCGCTCTAAAAGGCTTGATTTTGCCAACTGTTTCAGGGAAAGACAAGAGGTAACAGGGCAGCTTTGCAAACATATCTAGTCTCAATTTATATGCCTCCACTTACACTGAAAAGATCAAGTACCATTTATTTTTCAGGGGGAGCAGAGCAAGGCAAAAGAAAGTTTTCTCAACTGACTCCCTTTCTACCTTTAATTTTGAGGAGTCTCTTCTCTTTGGGGATTTCCATTTTCCTTTCTCACTGCCTCATATTTTGTGGGTTAGAGATGGTAGACTGGGAGGCAATTAGAAATCTCAAGAGTGTACCGTAAAAGAAAAATACAGAGTACCTAGTAAGGCAGGTGGGACAAAAGCAGTGTTTTGGATTTGCTAGGGAAAACACAATAGAAAAAAAAAAGGGTCGATGTACTAGATCTCATATTATTCAATGCCACACTATATTATTTATGCAATATATAAGTACATAGTGATATCTTTAAATAATATTATAGATTAAGTAGCATGGCTACATATTAAAATGAGACAAACTTTATATTACTGTATTTAATGATGTGGTTATTAGACAACTACTTTAAGCTCCTGCTAAAATCATGGCCTGGGGAGGTCTAAGGTCACATGATGGCAGCTGAAACGCTGTTCCAGGAGCCTCCGGAACCATTAGGCCTGCGTGCCAAGGGCATAGAGAAATGCTCATTACGGTGCACACTGTACAATGATGGCAAAAAGTCATCTTATTTTTACTACCTTATCAACACAGCTATTTAGTTCTTCGCTTAGAGCTTCCTTTTCTTTCAGCAGTTTTTCATTGTAGCTTAGAACACTAGAAATTTTTTGCTGGAAGTCAGAGAGATCGGGACATCTGAGCAGCTGGAAGAGATAAACAAATGAGCCCTCCCCTCACATCTCATGCCGACATTTATAAAAAGGTATTTATAAACAGGGCATTTTCAGGGCTGCTGCTATTTCCCTATCTGTGGATATTTCAGAGGACACATAAACTCTTGGGGACTATAATTAACATTAACAAAATGTTCCCTGCTAGTTTCTGTCCATTCTCCAATGCACTGTGGAAATGCCTGTTCAGATAGACTCAACCAGACAGACACTGATAAATAATGGTCCTAGCTTTCTGTTTTACTTTCAGGGTAAAATAAATAACATAATGACATCTTGTCATCAATTTAACTCGTGTACATATAGCACAATACATTTTCCTCATGCTTTCTTAACTAAGTAAATCATTTTCAAAAATCTCAGTCAAGATTATAGAATTGGTATGAACCAAGTACAATGTATTAACACAAGAGCCCTAACCGATTTGGCTCAGTGGGTAGAGCGTCAGCCTGCGGACTCAAGGGTCCCAGGTTTGATTCCGGTCAAGGGCATGTACCTTGGTTGCGGGCACATCCCCAGTAGGGAGTGTGCAGGAGGCAGCTGATCGATGTTTCTCTTTCATCGATGTTTCTAACTTTCTATCCCTCTCCCTTCCTCTCTGTAAAAAATCAATAAAATATATATATAAAAAAAGAACAAATTGAAAGACAACACATTATGTTTTAGCTCGGTCCATATACCCTTCCTTTTGGAAGACGCCCAAATCCACTTGCTTAGTAAAATGTTGCTGTGTGGACACATTGGCTTCCTCCTCTCCACTTTATGGAATCAGGAAAACCAAAGACTTTTGTGTTTCTTTTCAGCATCAGCCTTAGCACTATTGACATTTTGGGCCAGATAGTTCTTTGTTGTGGGGTCTGCCCTGTGCACTGTAGGGTGGTTAACAGCATGCCTGGCTTTATCAATTAGATTCCAGTAGCACCCTCCCCCTTCCCCACATATCAGTTATGAAAACCAAAAAACACCCCCAGACATCGCTAAACTTCCCAGGTTGGGGGAGCAACCTCCCCTCCCCCAATCACTGCTTTAAAGAGACGGGTTTCGTACACTTCCTAACTCTTTTCCACAGTTCATGCATTTTTCATTTCCTTCCACTTCACTTGGCTTTCCAGTTTTCAATTCTTTATTTTCATTATGATTTTATGGCCATCTTTCTACTTCCTACCTTCTTTTCCATTTAGCTTTAGGAATAGTATGACCAAATAGTCTTTGAGAGTTGACTTTGGCCTTCAACTGGCAACAAATCCAGCATTCCTTACAACTCTAAACAAGTCAGAAGGATGTAGGAAAATGCATTTTAAAGTACCCGGGCACTGGTTTAATGAAGAGCCTCTCTCCTTTGTTCACCACTTTGCCTCCCCATCCCTGGACCCTCACAAAGCCTGCTGGGTGTCTACGAACAGCTTTGTGACCTCTGCTGATGTTTCTTTTCATGTTTCTTTTCAGTGCAACAGACAACAAGAGTGTTTTGTGAATGAGGAGTCATCATGTCCCATAGAGCAGCCCATGCTTTCTAGGTCCAAGCTGTATGGCTGACACCATTCCACTATGTGATCCAAAAGGGTGCCACACAACAGCTTCCTGCCAAAGGGAGACGGGGCTCACTGTTTTTCCAGAGCACAATTTATGTCAATGCCCCTGTAAAACATATGCAATAAAGAAGTGCGGAATGATGTCCTCCTCAAGCTGTCTTACTCCCAGCTCTGCCCCTCTTCTCCTGATCTCTAGCTTAGCACAGTCACAAAGCACACGTTTCCCCTGCTACGGATTTGGAACCCATCATTACCATCTTAGAGGCTGAACAACAGGCCGACTTTCAAAGGTAAAGGAGAAAAGTGTGCCCCGGTTAGTTTGGATGAAGTTGGTAAGAAGAGCTTTGGAATACTTATCCACCAGAGAAGGGCCCTGCAAGTTTTAACTTCTGCAGTGTCTATGTGGGCTGACCGCTTCTGTTATGGCAGGAGAGAGATGCTTTGCACAGCAGCATCTGACTTGACAAGGTTCTGTGAAAGTCCCCATTAGGTACCGGTACTGTCCTAGCAGGACGAGGGACACAAATTCCCTGAGGGCCTTATAATTCTATTAGGAAATCGAGACTGACAGGAGCCACTTAGAGGCCAACATGAACAGAACACTCAGTGGTAGGGGCACCGTTATGCTCATAAAACGAACAGATACAAGAGAGAATCTTATAATCTAAGGATGTCATAATGTGAAAGTAATCCATTTGTGAAGCAAATTAAATAAAATGGGATGATGAAATTCTCCTATTATAAATTAGTTTTGCTCAAGCAGGAAGATTCCTGTACTCACTGAAAATTTCAGAATCTATAATAAAAGCGTCATATGCAAATCAACCGAACAATTAGCAGAACGACTGTCCGATGACCTTCCAGACGACCATGCTGTGACACGCACTGGCGCCAGGCCAGCCAAGGTGGGGGGGATGCAATTGGTCGAGGGCCCCACATCGCCCCACGATTGCCCCGTAGAGGGAGGCCCAGGCCACCCTCTGTGGGGCAATTGATGTGGGGGCTCTGCAGTCAATCGCCCCAAAGAGGGTGGCCCAGGACACCGGCCGGTAGGGTGATCGATTGGGGGGTAAGGGAGCTCCACAATCGCCCCGCAGAGGGAGGCCAAGGCCACTGGCCAGCAGCGCTGTGGTGGGTGTGCGGGGCAGGCCAGCGATCGCCCCGCAGAGGGAGGCCCAGGCCAGCCAAGCAACTGCACCCCATGCCTGTCGCCCACAGAGGCAGGCAACTGGTGGCGGGGGGGGGGGGGGGGGGGGCAGTGCCACACAGATGGCAAGCAGTGGCAGCGGCGGGGGTGGGGCCAGCTGCTGGCAGCTTGGGGAAGGAAAGCCCCGATAAGCCCTGATCGCCGGCCAGGCCTCAGGACTATACCTGAGGGGTCCCGGATTGCGAGAGGGCGGAGGCCGGGCTGAGGGACACTCTACCCCCCCCCGGCCCCCCCGCATGAATTTTGTGCACCGGGCCTCCTAGTGAAGACTAAAACAGGACAATGTCCAGGATATAACTTTAAGGTAAACTCTCTTTTATCCTTAAAATTAAGTCTTTGAAACTTTGAAATAGGCTCTGAAAGCCAGATTCTTAAGGGAGACTGCATCCCTGATAATCCTCTAGAATTTACCCTTATGCCTGAGACGCTTCACACCTGCTGTGAGGAAAGAATAAGAAGGACCAGCTTTGCCTGTGTCTCATGAATCTGGGTGGAAGGTTATTAAAGTTACAAGGAAAAAGTTACCTTCTTTGTAGACAAACTTATATTACTTTTTCATCTGGTTTGGAGCAAGTAGAACATCAACTTTCTTAAACTCAAGTGGTTGTGACCATTTATAGCAACAGAATTTCAGTCTACGACATATATAAGTTACAAACTAGAACTAGAGATTTAACAATAAAAGCCCTTATAAATAGACTTGTATTGCAAGTCTTCAACTTTGCTGAGAAATAAGCTAGTTGACAGGATTCAGTCCAAAGGCCATTTGGTGGCTGGCAAAGCCGGGCCATCAGGCACATATGGTCCTACAAGAGGTTCCCGGACCTCTCCTAAGCAGCACAGTCTCACCTGCTTCATTTTCTCCAGTTCATCTTTGAGAAGGAGGTTTTCCTGTTCCACAATATGCGTCTGTATTTTAACTTCAGAGAGTTCTGCCTCCAAAGAAGACACCAAAGCAGAGGACTAAGAAAAAAATTTAAAAGTTAAGGACCAGACATATTCATTTAGCCTGAGGAAACTTACTAGGGCCACAAAAGGCAGCATTAAGGACACACTAGTACAGAGGTCCTCGAACTTTTTAAACAGGGGGCCAGTTCCCTGTCCCTCAGACATTCCACACATGCGCCCTGCGGGCCCAGGACGAGTCGGCTGCTAAGGAGGACAGGCAGTGGCGGCAAAAACACCCGGCGGCCGGATAAATGTTTTCGGCGGCCGCATGTGGCCCGCGGGCCGCAGTTTGAGGACCCCTGCACTAGTACAATTTCAATGACACACGGGTTGTTGTTTTTTTGCTATTCTTTTTTTAATTTTTTTTTATTTTTAATTTTGTTTTATTGCTTAAAGTATTAGAAAGAGTATTACATATGTCTCCTTTTTTTCCCCCCCTTGACATTCCCCCAGCCTCCCCTACCCCCAGTGTCTTGTGTCCATTGGTTATTCTTACATGCATGCATACAAGTCCTTCGGTTGATCTCTTGGTTTTGTTTTTAAATAAGGGAAAGTTTACTCAGAAAGTTACAGAGGTAGTAGAAGGACCCTTGGTGCTTAGGAGAAAGAGGGAGAGAGATATGCCTCTTGAGGGACAAAAGAGGAAGGAGAGGCACAGATGTGCTCCAGAAAAGAGAGGGAGGAAGGGAGGGAAAGAGGGAGGGAGGGAGGGAGGGAGGGAGGGAGGGAGAACCAATGACACTGGTTTATGGCCATTCATCCTTATAGTGAATGGAATTAACTAAACGATCTTTTAAAAGGTTCTCCTCTCAAAAGGCATGGGCATGATTTTTAGGGTAGTTTCTGAAGATTTCCCCACTGTAAAGTAACTCTCTCTCGGAGACGTTCTTGAGGCTATGCAGATTGTGTTACTCCTTAAACTTTTGCTTATTAATTTTAGTGTCTATCAGTGGGTTTTGTCTACAATCACTACTTTGGTGTTTGCCTTCTAATGACTTTCTATTTTTTTCTACATTTATTAATTGGAATTCTACTGTAAGGAAGACAGTGTGTCTCCCCCTTTAATTTACTTACTCAGTTTTTTATATCGGTGTGGCCATATGGACATTTATTTTATCCTACGTTTATAACCGTATTTATTTTATATTTCACTATGATTATTTTATTGCTGAAATCGTTCCATCTTTGGCCTAAAGGAGGTTGGGCCCTGTGTCCTTTCAACATGCCCCATCTTTTTTGAGCATTTTTTTCTTCCTGGCACCATGAAATATTCCAGGCTCATCTTGAATTGTCCTTGTCCCCCAGCCTTGGAATCAGACGTTTTTCCAAGGAGCCCCGGTTCCTTTTATAGGAGAAAGGTGTTTAGAAACCAAGATCTGGGCCATCCATAAATACACGTCTATATATCTCTATCTATTCGTATGCCGCTACCACACTGTTTTCATGATTAAGACTTTATGTACAAGCAATGTAACACCGTATAAGCATTTCTTTTATTTGCTGGGGTTTCCTCCACAAAGGCTGTGGGGCGGCTGCAGCGCGTACCTGCACTTTACAGCGTTCCAGCTCCTCTTCCAGCGTAGACTTCTCCTCTTGCCACTCCTCCAGCGTGCCGCGCCCTGGCTCCTTCTCCTGGCACAGCACTTCCGCCAGACGTTGATTAAGCTCTTGCAATTCTCTCTGATTTTGAGAGTTCTTTTGGCTAAGTTCCGTCTTTTCCAAATCCAACTGTTGGTTTTTGGTTTTTAATTCTGAAATCTAATTAAAATTGAAATAACTCTTAAAAACTAGTTACCCTACTTCTGCTAAAAAACAGATTTAGAGCCTAATTGGTTTTTCCCTCGATATGTAGATGAAGTTACACACACACACTTAATAACAGAAATAATACAGAGTAACTGTTACACATTCAGTCAGTTCAGAAGTGTGTTAAGAAGCGATAGACGCTCAGTCTAAATCCACTCCACGTGAGTAGCCATGGTTCACAGCTGGATACATGTATATCCCTCCAGATTGTTTTCTATGCATGTGACAAAACCCGTATACTGTACACAGAGAGATTTCTTTCTTTCTGACAAAAATTGGAATCATTTCAGATGTTTGGACAGCCTGTTTTCCCACTTACCCTATCTTACAGACCCATCTTCTAAGTCAGTGCATTCAGAAACCACCACACGCTATATATTTTAGTGGCTGTCGGGTATTCCAAGGATCAAGACATTGAATAATGCACTGAATTTTAATGATGAAGAAACAATGCAATCTTTTGGAAAATTCACTTACACATGTTAGCATTTTGTATTTAGGATCTTTTTTTTTTTTTTAGCAGTGGGGCTGTTGGGTTAGAAGGCATGCATATACATTACTATTTTTATAGATATCTCCAAAACGTCTTTCTCACAGTGCTACCGATTTACAGTTCTTCCAACTAGGTATGAGCACCTTTGTTTCCTCACCACCTCTTTTATTTTGATGAAGTCACTCTTTAATTTTTGCTAATCTGAAAAAAGAAACTCATTTAATTTGCACTTCCCTAATCACTAATGAGGCTGACCATCTTTTTACTTGTAGTATTCTTTTTTGTCTGTGACTTGACCATTCATATCGGTTATTCATTTTTCATCTGGGTTTTGCCATCTATATATACTAGTATAAAAGCCCAGCGACCAGAACGGCAGAATGACCAGAGTGACCAGAACAACCAGTGGCTATGACACACACTATGGCAGCCAACCAGCCTGATCCAGGTCCCCATCGCCCCTCTGTCTCCACCAGCTCAGCCCCCAATTGGCCCCCAACACCCCAACTGGGGATGGGGCCGGCTGCCAGCCGCCCACGGCCCCTACCCCCTGCTGGCCTGGCCCGATGGGCCCCCATTGGGGCGTACTGGCCAGATCCCACCCGTGCATGAATTCATGCACTGGGCCTCTAGTTTGTTTGTAAGTGTACAAAATACATTTTGGATGTTAACACCTTGTCTACTCTTTTCCCAGGATGCCCTTGCCTACTGACTGTTTCAGACAGATTTTTAAGTGGCCTTCGCCCACACAATGGCATGTTGTGAGATTGTATAAATTGGGCATTGACTGGCACAAGTTACCTAAATAAATCATAATTCTGTGAAAAGATACTGATTAACTGGCATTCTGTATCTGTGAAATTTTGTCCTTAACTTTCTGCTTTCAATCCTGGTGAGAAAAGAGGAAGGGGCTAACAGTTGCAACTGTCTGAGGGAAGGAACTAGCATGACGCAGGTTTGGTTTCAGAGGTATCGCCTACCCATTCCCACGGACTATAAAGCTTGTATCAAGCACTCAGAGCCAAGAAATAATAATACATTATTAAACCCACAAAAAATAGAAACTTAGAGTCATCATGAGGTGAGTTTCCATTTTGAATCTCCAAATTTACAACCTCACCACCTCTAGCTACATGTTATTTCAATAGCATAGCCTATAAATCTGTAAATTTCAAATAAAAAAAAAAGAAAATTTCAGACTCAAGTAACACTGGGAAAAATGAAATATCTCCTTACCTGTTTCTTTAAATTTTCAACCATCTGCTGAACTGCGGCCTTTTCCTGTTTTACAGTTTCTATATTTTGCCTAAAGGGACAATGAAAACTTAAGAGTTAGGCTTTAAATTTTGAAGTAAAATAGTTTTAGTCCCTGCAAAAAGGCCTTAAGAAAACGTAAGTATATGTCTTACCACATTTCTTCCTGAGATCCATTTAATTTCTCCAACTGCAGGTTAGAAATGCTATCTTCTTCACTTAGAGTAGTAATTTCATTTCTCAAAATAGAATTTTCTTCTTGAAGCTTCTCAGATTCATATCTGAAGCAGAGATTTGAAAAGTAGTTACAACAAGGCAGTCATCTGGCATCTTTGGAAAATACTTTCTAGTAATTTTATGAAACAAGTATTTCATGCCAGTTAAAATGAGAAGTCTAAATTAGTAGTCTCTGTTCTTAGAATTCAAACTATAACATTTTGACTCATTTCTTATGGGCAGTAAGAATCTCACTAAGACATTAGGGAAGTGTGGCTGAAACACTTGTGCATGGAGACAGAGGGAGATGCAGTGGCCACTCTGGTTGCTGGTCGTGTCTGTGGCAAGCCTACTGCTTTGAGCAAATAACTTTCTTTATCTCAGTCTCAAGGCCTGCCTGCTGCCCATGGACATAAATCATATTACTAAGTTGCACTAGCTTTCATTTTAGGTCCCAAGGTATCTAGAGAAAGAAAATTCACTACATGAATAAAAGGGCCATACTGAAATATACACAATATTTACTTTGTGTGTTTTTTTCCATTTCATTATATTCTGGTTTTTAGAATGGAAAATCCTCTGAAGTGAGAAGAGGAAAAACTATATCCAGAATTAAATTTTGTTTCATATCATTAAGATATTTCAGACATGATGCAATATTTTACACTTTTTTTAAAAACCAAATTTGCTAGAAGACTATTGCAACCATATTTTATAAAGCCAAGTGAGCAGTGGTTCAAGTCTTTTTGCTGTTGTCTTTATTCTCAAGCACATTTATTAGAATCTGATAGCTCCTCAATTAAAATATACGTCCTAAGATAAATTTCTATTGTTTATGGAATATTGGCATATAGCTTCAAGCGGTATAGGGAAAAAACTATAAGCTACAAAATGCATTTATCCTATATTAGTATAAAGAGAGTTATCTACCAAGCAAGCTAATAATATACAAAAGGCATTCATTCTCATATAACGGGTTTCATCAACGTGAGGAAAATAACATTTAACAACAACAAAAATTCTACCCGTCCATATGAGGGGCTAGAAAAGAGTTAAAGACGGGACATACATGGATGATGCACGTGGTTAAACAGCAAACACTCTCCGTTATCAACTTTCACACGTCAACGAGTGACATTTATTTCCTACAGAGGAAGGGGGTGCCTCCTAGGCAAGGTTATTCTACTTGTTAATGTGACAGAAGCAGAAGGAAGTCTAAAGCACTGCTCTCTTCTTGGAGACTAACAGGTTAGTGTCTCTAGGTACAGCAAGCAGCAGAAGTTAGATGTGGCCAGGTACTCGGTGGGACTCCGTGAAGTTTAGAAGGTGCATACGTTACCTCAGAAGCTCAACTTTCTGCTGCATCTCACTGCACGTGACCTGCAAGTCATGCATCATTGCCTTCAGCTCTTCCTCCTTCCCTCCTTGAGCAGGGACATCTTTTTGCTTCACTAAATTAGTGACTCTCTCCCTCAACTTCCTAGTCAGCTCCTGCAGCTTTTTTTTCTCCAGTTCTAACTCCGCGATCACGGCCTGACGCTGGAAATGTCTGTGTTGGAGGCCTAGGAGGGTGGTGTTTTCCTCGATGGTCACCTGGTTCTGTTCTCCAGGCTTTTCTCCGTGAGTCTGGATTGTTGTGTGCAGCCAGGCAATTTCACGTGCTTTTACTTTTCCCAGGATCTGGGTGTTCTCCTGCCCAAGGTACTGGTTTTCTTGATAATGTTCTTCTATAACCTGGCATACATTCAAAGCCTTGGGCGCACGTGCTCCCGGTGTCTGATTTAGCGCAAGTGCCTTCCCATCGGGCTCGGGCTGGGGGTCCAGGCCCTCTAACTGGGCTTCCCACAGGGAGAAGCAGCCACACTGGAGCGCCGCTCTTTCTTGCAGCCTCTCAATCGTGCCTTCAAGTCTCAGAACCACAACGTGCAGCTCCTCGTTTTCCCTTTTGACCTCATCGTAACTCCTTTCCAGGCCGAGGAACGTTTCGGTCACTTCTTCCGCTCGCTTCAGCTCGTCCTGCAATCGGAAAACCTCTGAAGCGAGTTCCTTGTTGCTGTCCAGGGCTTCCTCGTAGTGCGTCTCCAGCACTCGCAGCTCTTCCTGGAGACAGTCGTTTTCTCTGCCGGCGTCTTCGTATAACAGTTTATACTTGGGAGAAGCCTCGGCGACTCTCTCAAGCGCGTTGAGCTTCTTCTTGAGCACAGAAACATCGAAGAGTAGGTCCTGCTTCTTCTCAGAAGCTCGATCGCAGTCCGCACGTAAGACCATTAATTGTTCCTGAAGTTGAGAAATCTGATTCTTCAGGTCCCAGGTCTCAGTCCTGGTCTCATCGCTGTTTTCAAGCTCAGAAAAACTCCCCATGGACGCTTCAGACGCCTCGACTTGGACCTCCTGTCTCTGAAGAGAGCTCGTCCCTGTGCTTCCCAGGTCCGGGGCCTCATCGTCTTGCAGGTCGCTCAGGACGCGCCGCCTGGTCACACCTTCTACTTGCTCCCTTCGGTTTTGCAGTAAACATGGCTCTGTTTGTTCCACAGAATTCCCGAAAAGCCCAGTGGTGGCCTCCTCTAAAGAAGACGACATGACCGACCCTGGCTCTAATTTCTGCAGCCTCTGCTGCAATCGAGAGATTTCCGCAGCCATCTTCACGTTTTCCTTCACTGCCTGCTCGTGAGCTCTCTGCAGGCTCAAGAGGACATCTCCATTCTCTTCCAACAGCTGCTCTCCTTGCTGGAGCAGGGACATGGCTCCACTTCCTTCTGCCTCCTCCCCTCCTGTTTCCTGGCAGCCATTCTGCAGCCTGGAGGGAGGAGATGCCACCTCCTGCATCTCCTTAATTTTATTCTGAAGCTGGGCGATTTCTGTGCTCATCTCGGCTCTGTCTCGATCTGCTTTCTCACAGGTCACTCTGTGGACGCTCTCCATGGCCAGGAGCTTGGACACCATTTCCCGCCTCTCCTGGTCACGTTCCATTTCCAGCCTTTCAAGCCGCTGGTTGGCCAGCTGCTCCGAGACGCCCGCCTGGCACAGGACCTGCTCGCGGTCCTTCAGCTCTCTCTCGTGACTGCGTTTCAGCTCCAGGATCTGGTCGGACAGTAGGCTTTGCTGACTTTCAGACACTTTTCTTAGGTCTTCCAGGTCTCTGAGTAGCTGTTCTCTCTCACCAACCACGCTACTCAGGTGTTCTTTGTATGTTTTCTCCAGCATCTCTCTCTCCTGGGTCAAGGCCAGGGAAGTCGCTTTCTCTCTCTGGAGCGTCTCCTTCAGCTGCTCCTGGGCCTCGGCACACTCCTGCGTGAGCTCATCCTTCTCAAACTGCCACTGAGACCTCTCCTCGCGCTGCTGTTCCAGGAGCTCCCTCAGCTCTTGGCGCAGGTGCCTCTCCAGGCGCTGCAGAGCACTCTCACATCTCTCAGTGACTTTCTGACAGTCAGCCTGAACCTGGGCTTCTATCTCACAGGTTCTTCTAGTACACTCAGTTTCCATTTTTTCCCTAAATGTGGTCAACATACAGCATTACTCAAACTGCCATCAACTCCAGAAGCAAACAAACAAAGAAAACATTTCCCATGCACAGGAGAAGCTGCCAAGCAAACAATTTAAATACGTTGTAGAAATAGTGTTCACTTCTCCCTCTGTGACTCATTTACACTGACAAGGGATGTCATTTCTGAGAGCCAAGACCAGCAGTCATAATGGAAAAGACTCAGTACTTAACTTCTCTCTGCATTTACAAGAAAAATTTAGAAAGAAAAAAAAATCTTTGGAATTCTCCTTTGTTTTCAGATTTTTAACTAACCACTTAAACTGACATTTCACGGTAAATGATCAAATGCATTTATAGTCCCCTAACTTGGAAAGTATAATATTTTTATTTTTAATTAAGTATGCATTGAAGGATAATAATCACATAAACCACACGTATTACAGTCACATGTTCTTGCCTCTTATTTAATGAAGTAGCACTGAGGTCATCAGAGTATGAAGCACCAAAGGCCTCATATGTACCTGAGATTTCACATGAGTAAGGTAAGCACAAAGTAGAGTTTCATAACTCTGGGAGGAAATATGACTTTGCCCAGAATGTAGTTTATAAATAGCCTTTCTCAGAAAACAACAGGACTGAACTAGGAAGGACCCACATTTGCAATAATCGTATCCTCATCTGTGACCTTAAAATATACAAGTCTGAGCTCTAGTCGGGTGGCTCAGTTGGTTGGAGCATCGTCCTGTACACCAAAAGGTTGCAGGTTCGAACCCTGGTCAGGGCACATACCTAGGTTGTGGGTTTGATCCCCAGTCAGGGCGCATATGGGAAGCAACCAATTGATGTTTCTCTCTCACATCGACATTTCTCTCTCTCTCTCTCCTTCTTCCTCTCTCTCTCTCTAAAAATCAATAAAAACATATCGTTGGGTGAGATTTTTTTAAAAAAAGATACAAGTCTGTCACCAGGCATAGTTTCCCCTTTTAAAAGAAAAACAGTTTCAATAACCCCAAGATGGTTTATGTCTGAACAATGGCAAAACAAGCTGAAAAACTGAAAAAGTGTTGCAAGGGGCTATTATGCCTTCTGATTCACTAGAGTCTCCTTCTCTGACTGGAACTTCTGGTGCCTGCGACGGACAGCACCCCGGGTTGCTCCATCTCCCCCATTTTCTTACCTTTCCTCTTGAAATTCCCTTTGGTGTTTTTCCAAGAGCTCTTTTCGCAACTCCTCCTTCTCGAGAGCGTGCTTCTCCGCCAGGCTTTCCAGCTGCTCCTGGTGGAACTGCTCGAGCTCCTGAGTCAAGCCCCTCACCTTCTCTTCTGTCCAGGCACCGCTGTGAAGAAGTCCCTCCCTCTCGCGGGCGAAGCTCTCCTCTGCCTGCCCCAGTCTGTCCTTGAGCTCTGCCTCATGTTCCAGCCTCAGCGCTTCCTGCAGGAGAGTCTTCTCCTCGTCCCACCTCATCTGCAGTTGCTGCTTCTCCTCCTCGTGTCTGCAGTTAGTCATATGCTGTGCCTCCTGGAGCGCCACTGCCCGGCCCTGGAGTTCTGCCATGTCATGTGTAAGGTCACTTATTTGCTTTTCCAGGATGCGCACTTCGTTCTCATACTTTTGCCTCATGTTCTCCTGCTCCTTTTCACAGGCGGCCTTGGTTTCCTCAAGCTGCTGTGCATAGTGGTGCACCTAAAGCCAGGAAGCAAAACCACCACAATGCCACTCAACGCCAGGCCACGGAAAGGTGATGGGGCACAAGTACTTTCTTTCCTACAATACATTCCTCCGTTTTCCCATTTTGTTTTAAAGTAACAATTCAAAAACACATTAAATAAGATACATTTAAATCAGGCATGGTTTGCTTTCCTTTATTTTAACTTGGCTGAATTGTATTAGTTTCTGAACAATTCTATTAAAACTGACCAGACCTTCCCATAGATACCATTGGTCTTTCCAGGCACCCTTTCCAACTGTGAACTGAGGGGCTGAACATAATGAATTAAATCCATATATTTATTGAACACCTATCAGGCACTCTGCAAACCTCATGGGGACACAAAGTTGGGTAAGACAAAATCCCTGCCATCAAGGAGAAACCTGTCTAGACATGGTTATGACAAATACAGAGAATTGTACTACAAGACAGAATAAAAAAATATATAAAAGGTAAAGAGCTACAATGTCACCAGGGGATTCAAAGGAGGGAAAAAGCACATTTGGTGGGGGGAATTCAGGAATGGGTGCAGCAAGAGGAAAACATTTGATATAAACCCTGAAGGGTAAGTAGGCTTTGAGAGAGAAATAGCATAGCATGTAACAGCATGAGCAAAAGAGCACAGTCTGACGAAAACCAGAAAACTACCTGGTTTGACTGGAGGATAGGATAACTCAAAGGAACGGTAAAAGAGAAAAATGAAAAAGTACGTTGAAGCAACAAGGTTAACGAAGGGTTTTGGAGGCCAATATTCAGAGCTTGCACATAATGTAAGAGGTAATGCTATAGTAAAGGGCTTTTTTGTGTGTTTTTTTATCAAGACATTTTTTAACAAGTTGAAAATGTAGTGGCCTTCGAGTTCTATGCTTGCTGGAAAATGAGGGTCTTACATTTTGGAGAAACTCTGAGGAAAAGGTCTCACCTTTGGCCTAGGAAACCATCCTGAGGAACCGGGTTCCTGGCAGCCACCAAGACACAAGAGAAAATATATAGAAAATGCTGCCGTACAAGAACAAAGCACTGAGAATCCACTACATGCAAACGCCTATCAAGGAAATGAGAGAACAGGGTTGACAAGGACTTACTTTATCTTCAAGCTCCAGTCTTAGGTGACACAAGTCCCTGTGATGATGTTCTTTCATCTGTTCGATGACCAGCTCTGCCTCGATGCTCATATTCAGTGGATTGCAGTCTTCAGAACCAAGCCCTGAAAATACATGAGATCTACTGACCCTGATCTTTCAATAACACAGCTGGCATCAGAGGAGGGATATCCATTGAATAAAGGAATAATTTTAGCCTAAATTGCCATAGATGAGCTCTACTAGGAAACTGTAGAAGGCAAGAGAAGTCTCTTCTGTTTTTGAGCACCAGGGAAAACAAGAAGAACATGAAGGTGAGCAGATTCTGTCATGTACAGTCAATGCACCAAACCTTACAGAATCTATCTTTTTGGACAGTAGGTGGGGAGTAGATGTGGAAACTCTTTCTTAAACATGATTGCCTCTTAACAAAAACGCTGTGGACTGAAGTCGTTTAGTCAAATCGAGCAGCCTTCTATCCATCCAACAAATACCAAGTAACAAATTAGGTAGGGACAGAGTCCAAGATGGTGGCAGAGTAGATGGAAGGTACACGGACCTCCTCCCAGGACTAAACTGGAATTGAAATTAAAATATAGAACAATCAACCTGAGTAACCAAATGAAGACTCTTTGAACAGAAGTCTTATAACCAAGGATTTACACTGGTAGTAAGGGCAGAAACATGAAAAGGCCTGGCCCTGTTCCCAAGGGCTGCCGCTGAGAATCTGGTGGGATTTCTCAGCTGCAAAGGTTCCCCCTGAGGAGCATGGGGTTGAGCTCCCCATCCAAGAGCACCAGAGCCAGCAAGAGGCATCCACATAACATCTGGCTGTGAAAAGCAGGAGGGATTCTGTCTACCAGGGAGATACAGGAGTCTGCTACTAGGGACACAGGTGCCTTCCTAAAGGGACAACACACAAAATTTCATTTGCAGCCACTCAACTTGGGCTCAGGTGAAGGGAGGGCAGAGCAGACTAGAATCATGTGAGGAGAGATGGGGGTTTGTGGTTCTGTAGAAAGATGATGGAACATTTGCCAGGATTCCTGTACTGAGTCACTTTTCCACAATGTAGACACCATCTTTCTTGGGTGGAGCATGCCCCTCCAGACAAAGAGAGAATCTTAAAAGCAGCTTGAGAAAGACAGTTATCTACAAGGAAGCTCCCATAAGACTGTCAGGTGATTTCTCAACAGAAACATTTCAGACCAGAGGGGATTGGCATGAAATATTCAAAGTGATGAAAAGCAAGGACCTACGACCAAGACTACTATACTCAGCAAAGCTATCATTTAAAATTGAAGGAGAAATAAAGAGCTTCCCGACAAGAAAAGGCTAAAGGAGTTCATTACCACCAAACCAGTATTACTAGAAATGTTAAAGGGTCTTCGCTGTTAAGAAGAACAATAACAACAGAGGAACATAGTTATAATGAATAAAATTAAAATGACAAAACATATGTACCTATCAATATTCACTTTAAATGTAAATGGCTTAAATGTTCCAATCAAGCCGAAACCGGTTTGGCTCAGTGGATAGAGTGTCAGCCTGCGGACTGAAAGGTCCCAGGTTCGATTCCGGTCAAGGGCATGTACCTTGGTTGCGGGCACATTCCCAGTGGGAGATGTGCAGGAGGCAGCTGATCGATGTTTCTCTCTCATCGATGTTTCTAACTCTCTATCTCTCTCCCTTCCTCTCTGTAAAAAATCAATAAAATATATTTTAAAAAAAATGTTCCAATCAAAAGACATAGGGTAGCTGAATGGATAAGAAAACAAGACCCATATGTATGCTGTCTACAAGAGACCCACATCAGAATGAAAGATACACAGACTAAAAGTAAAAGGATGGAAAAGGTATTTCATGCAAATGGAAATACAAGAAAAGCTAGGATAGCAATACAGATTTTAAAAACAAAGGCTATAGTAAAAGACAAAGAAGGAAAAATAGGGCGTAGATTGGGAACACAGATATAGGAAGTCTGGGGAAATTTTCTCAACTCAACTGTATGAGTTCACCTCTGCAATGGCCCAGGATGAAGACTGAGAGGGACATTGAAATGTAAAGCATTAAGTTGGGGGCTGAGCTAGTACATAGACAAAATGATTATAGCTAATACTGTGTAGAAATCTTTTAAGGCAGGGGACTCCAAAGTGTTTTTCAGCCCTAGGCAGTTTGGATTCCGGGTTTGATTCTGGTCAAGGGCTTGGTTGCAGGCTCCAGCCCTAGTCAATGCTCATGCAGAAGGCATCCAATTGATGTCTTTCTTTCTTTCTTTCTTTCTTTCTTTCTTTTTCTTTCTTTCTTTCTTTCTTTCTTTCTTTCTCTCTCTTCTCTCTCTCTCTCTCTCTCTCTCTCTCTCTCTCTCTCTCTCTCTCTCTCTCTCTCTCTCTCTCTCCCCCTGCCTTCCACTTGCTCTAAAAATCAATGAAAAATTATTCTTGAATGAGGATTAACAAAAAAAAAATGTTTTTCATGTGAGTGTACACAGGCAGATGGGAGAAAGGGCACAAATCTTGCATCTAGAATTGACAGTCTTGCTTTGAGCTGTTTTGCTTCATATGTCATGGCAAATCCTCAACTGGCGAGTGATAGTGCAAGTTACGAACCCATGAGGAGAACCCCCCAACACGTGGTCATCTATGGAAAAGTCCAGAAAAGCTTCTGAAATGTATATTACCAGCTGGGCTCCATCCTTACACTACAGTAAAGCTACATGCTTAGAATCAGAAGAAAGGTCTTAAGGCTTCTTTTTGTCCCTTCCCCCATCCCTTATTTATTCTAGAATAAATAGGTGAGGAGAATAACTCTTATAAGGACCTGTACTCCTGTAACAACTAGTAGTGGGCAAAAGTATTTATAACAGGAGAGTTTATTATGAGCCCTTTAGGAAACTACATCTCAACACACTGGAAAAAAGAGGCAGAAGACCAGGAAGGAGGAAAAGAGTCAGTTTTGAATAGAGGAAGGCTCCCTGGCCTTGCCACTCAAAATCTTCCTCAAAGGCACAACCAACACATTTATTTTATTTGTTGTTTTGTGGAGGGAATACAGACATTTAGCACAGCCAGCATAAGAAAACCAAATTCTGTGGTCTCTGGCTCCCCCGCCCTTGCCCCCACCCCACGCAAAAAAAAAAAAAAAAAAATCATTTGTCATACCAGTTATTCGCTCTTTTAGAAAGGGAGAATTCAGCAATAGTTCAGTGTCTGAATTCTAACACTCCCAAGGCCTGGATTCTCAGACTTGTAGCCAGTTTCTTTTTTTAAACAAAGCAAATATCTTTGTGGTTTGATTTTCCCATTCCTTGGTTGTTGCGTATCAAAATTAGATAGAAATATTCTCATAGAGATGTCAAGAATGAACGAAAACACAGACCACAAGTGAAATAGCTCAAGAAAATAGTATTGCCAAAGTCTTTTTCTGTTGTTATTGTTGCCAAAGTTTGTCTATTCTACATTCAACCATGGTTCTAAAAGGAAAAGTCAAAGGCAGAGACTCTAAAAAGATGGTGTCTGAATGGCTTACCCTGGTCAGGCTCAAGGCAATCACTAACACCAAGTTCTTCTGACAGTGTGTTCTTCAAGGGAAGTCTGGAAACTTTGCCTTGTGTACGATATTCTTCCAGCTCAGACTGGAGTTCATCCACTTGGTCTTGTAATACCTGGAGTTTAAAAACCAGCATGAATATTGGATGTGACACCAAGCAACAAAAGAAAGGACAGATAAATTGGATATCATCAAAGTAAAAAACTTTTGTGCTTCAAAGGATACTATCAAGAAAATAAAAAAAATAAATAAATAAACCCTAGAGAATGGGAGAAAAGTTTTTGTAAATTGCATGACAGGGACTTGCAACAAGAATATATAAGGAACTATTAAAACTCAACACTAAAAAGACAAATAACTCATTTAATTATTAGGCAAAGGATCTAAATAGATATTTCTCTAAAGAGGATATACCAATAAGTAAATGAAAAGACACTCAACATCATTAGCCATCAGGGACATGCAATCAAAACCACAGTGAGATACCAGTTCAGAGCTGCTAGAATGGCTATAATAAAAGAAGACATACAATAGTAACTACTGGCAAGGTTGTAGAGATGGAACTCTCATACTGGTGGAAATGTAAAATGGTGTAAACCCACTGGAAAAAGTTTGGCACTCCCTCAAAAAGTTAAACATACAGCCATCGTATGACCCAGCAATTCCATTCCTCAGTATATACCCAAGAGAAATGAAAGCATATATCCACACAAAAACTTGCACACAAGTATTCACATCAGCATTATACACAATCTTCAAAACAATCCAAATGTTCATCAACTAATGAATGGATAAATAAAATCTGGTACAATCATATAATGGAATCTTATTTAGCAACTGAAAGAAATGAAGTACGGATACATGCTACAACATGGGTGGACCTTGAAAACATTATGCTAAATGAAGCAAGCCAGATACAAAGGGCCATGTATTGTATAATTCCATTTATATGCTATGTAAAGAACAGGCAAATCCATAGAGACAGAAAGTAGGTGATTAGTTGCCAGGGCTCGGGTCATGAGAGAAAGTTTAACAAAGTGGAGTAGGAGTTTCTTTTTGTGTGATGAAATGTTCTAAAATGGATTATGGTAATGGGTTGCACAATTCTGTGAATATGCTAAAAAACAGTGACACCCAGCAACAAAAGAAAGGACAGATAAATTGGATATCATCAAAGTAAAAAACTCTTGTGCTTCCAAGGATACTATCAAGAAAATAAAAAATAAAATAAAAAAACCCTAGAGAATGGGAGAAAACCCTAGAAATGGGTGAACTGTATAGTTACGAAAAGCTTTCAAACAAATAGAGAAGTGGATGGATTTGGGGAATTTTTGGAGGTAGAATCGACAGATTTTACTGATGACATAATTCACTTTAAAGACATATAAAAACACCTCTGCTTGATTAGAGCCGACAGCCAAACTTAACTGTAAAAGCAGCAGGAATGTTTCATTTCCTTACTGAAGATGTGCATATATATTTCCTGAGAAGGCAGACTATGACAACCTCAAAAGGAGGTGATGTTCTCATTTCTCTGACTGTTCATCTAAAGCAGTCAGAACTCAGTTATGCTTTCCTTGTTAGAATAACGAAGTCATTTTTTTTTTTTTTACTTAACTTTATTTTTATTGTTGACACTACTACAGATGTCTGCATCCTCCCCTCCCTTATCTTTGTCTACCTCCATTCAGCCCCAGCCCCTCTTTCCCTCTGGCCATCCCCACACTGTTGTGCTTATGTGTCATTCATATATATTCTTTGGATGATCCCTTCACCTGCTTTCATTCACCTCCCCCCTCCCCTCTGATAGCTGTCAGTCTGTGGCATGTGTCCATGACTCTGTTATTTGGGGGATTAAATCAGAGATAAAATCAGGGACATAAAATCATTCTAAATGAAGGTCTCATGTTGGAGAGGGATGAGACAGCAAAGTAAAAGTTTTTTAAATGTTTCATAGAATAACGAAGTCTTTGTGATTTAAGAAAAACTAAGCTAAAAAATTCAAATAACTAAGCTAAAAAATCCAGTATTTCTATTATTTATGTAAGGATTTTTTTTTTTGTCTCTTCTGGTAGGAATTTATAATTATTTACTAGCTAAAGATCTGAGTGGTTTCTGCTTCATTTGCATTTTGTAAATAAAATAAGGAATCTAAGCAGAAAAAACCCCCCACGGGACAAAAGCAAACTACATCAGATTAGGTCTGTAATGATGAATCAGGAAAGGCTAATTTTGGAATAAGCACATCACCATGACCACATATTCCTCCACTTGGAATAAGCCATATTTTCCTCTAGTAATTTCCGACCTAGATAAAGCAGACTTAAATGAAGTGTGCATGATTCCCTAATATTTCAAGATACTAAATAATAATATTAGCAGCTAGCATTTGGGTTAAGTGCTTACCATGTCCTAGGCCAGTGAAGGCGAACCTATGACACGAGTGTCAGAGGTGACACGCGAACTCATTTTTTTGGTTGAGTTTTCTTTGTTAAATGGCATTTAAATATATAAAATAAGTATCAAAAATAGAAGTCTTTCTTTTACTATGGTTACAAATATCAAAAAATTTCTATATGTGACACGGCACCAGAGTTAAGTTAGGGTTTTTCAAAATGCTGACACGCCGAGCTCAAAAGGTTCGCCATCACTGTCCTAGGCTCTGTTCTAAGCACTTTCCGTTCAGTTACTCATTGATCGTCACAACAACCCTATTATTTTTACCTCCTGCATATGAGGCACCGAGGCTCCCACAGAGTAAGTGACTTGCTCATGGTCACACAGCTAGGAAATGGTCAAGCGGGATTGGAACCCCAGCCCTGGCAGCTAGTCACCTACTTTCTGCCTCCACTCGCTAAGTCCTCTCCAGTCACTCACCCTGCACTGCTGCTCATATTCATTTCTCATCTGTGCCAGCCGCTCTTCTTGCAGGAAGAATTCAGCACTGCTGGGATCGAGGTCACCAAACTGGAAAAGGAAAAGGAGAAAGCTGTCATTTTCCCAAGTGTCCTTCTTTGACCTTCAACATTCCAAAGGTCCCAGAGTCTGGTGTTCACCCAGTCTCTTGAGTATGACAGGAATGTGACATTTAAGTAGGAACACCACCAACTGGGTGATGGGAAGAACATTCTAGAGGGATGTGTTCAGCTAACCCAGGGCTCATTTCTCAGTGCCGTGCAATGATTTTCTCACATCCAACCTCTGAAATGAAATCTCTGCAAGCAGTGACTGCTTCCCTCACCCACCTAAATCCCCCCCTGACAGTCATTTTCTTGGTGGCATTGCTCCTGCTCTTTTGCGTAAACTACACTGAGGTAGCTGGGTATCAGGAAGTCCCATTTAAACAGATTTACCTTTTCTGCTAACACATTTTCCAAATTTCGTTGAAGTTTGTTTGTCAGATTCTCATACTCTGCCAACTTCTCAGCATTTTCCAGCAGCTCATTTTCTAGTCGACTGTTTTCCTGAAGAAATTGGGGGAAATTAAATAGGCACAGATTGAAAAATAAGAAAACTGTTGTAGCATTTTATATGAGGCACACAAATCAGTGCTCTGGATTGAGAATTTGTTCATTTTGAAAGTTTCAGATTAGACAAAAGTAAGTATTTTAAAAATGGATGTTTATCTTATAATCTAAACGCCTGCCTCCTTTTTTATTGACCCTACAGAACTGTGCTGTCCAACAGGGAGCCACTGGCAGCCACGTGTGGATACTGAGCACCTGAAACACGCACAGCGCCAACTGAGGCATGCTGGGAGTGTAAAACACTCCCCCGAGGCCTAAGAGTTGGCACAAGAATATAAAATTGTTCAATAATTTTTATATACTGATTCCATCAAAATGATAATGTTTGGAGATACTACATTAAAGAAAATGATTTACAATTAATTTCACCTGTTCCTTTTAACCTTTTAATGCAGCTATTTGAAAATTTGAAATTACGTGTATGGCTTGCATTATCTTTCTTCTGGACAGCATTGCAGTAGAAAATTTAATGTCATGAAAGACATTCTCAACATCTTATCAAATGAGAGAAAACTGGTTTGGATAATAGCAAAAGAGAAGTCAGAAAAACTGTAAAAAGTAGAATAACCCTGTATTTTTATTTAGTGATGACAGAGTTTGGCTTACAATTTTATTTTGGTTTAAAGATGTAAAAGCTACACACATACAGGTTTTTCATAATTGGCATATGTTTAAATTATTGTAATAAAATAATACATAAAATGAAGTCCACAAAGGGTGGGGTTTTTCTGTATATATAATACTTGTTAGAGAGATTTCCACCCACATTTGTTAAAAAAAAAATATATATATATATATATAGTCACACAGACATGCCATTCAACCTATTTTCTATTCCAATGTTAAAGGCTGATTGGAAGAACAGTATTTTCAAAGTACGTTTTGCCAAAAGAATATAGAGCCAATATATGTTAACACATTCACATTCACACCCTCCCACAGCATATGGAGTAAAAGAGAACATATTTGAAGCATTTAAAAAATATACCATTCCCCCTAAAATGCCAATTCTACAACTCTAACCCTTCAAAGTATGTCTAGATTTAGATGTCAACAATGAGCAGCAATCTCAAGGTATCGGGCCTGAGGGGTGCTCTGGACACCGCAGAATCAGATTCTGTTACTGACAACAGGGAATGCAGTCTGGATGTGGGAAGGGAGTCAGATACGAATACAATGACCTATGATGGATCAGAAAATTGTCTTATTTCTGACAAGAACAAAGCGAGTGAAATGGAAATGAAAAAGTAATTTGGCCTGCAGTGTTGGAGAAAGCAGTGAAGGAGCATAAAAACCCACTGAGGAACTGAGAGAGCTGATGGCAGGTGCAGTGGGGTTGAATGGGGTTGGGGGCATGACAAGGGGGCGGGGGATTGCTGGTGGTTCCTGAGGCTAGAAAGGTATGGCAAGCCCCATTTTAGGGGCCTCCAGTGTTACCACATTGCACCCTTACAAAGGGTAAGAGCCTGATTGTAAGTGCTTTTTAATAAGGCAACTCTGGTGGCCATGCGGAGGTCAGACAGACAGCAGAAAGGCTGCACGTTAAGTCCAAGAGAAATCATGATGAATTCAGAGCCTGTGGAAATGGAGAGGCAGTGGATAAATCTGAGAGGCACTACAGAGCATCAAGACTTAAAGACTGATGAGTGAGGATGACTGAGGACTTGAGCTTCTGTGACACAGCACATGGCGATGATGCAGACCAGGGAGAAAATTCAACAGAGGAAATAGTTCAATGGTTAGGGAGCGAGAATCAGCTCCGTTTTTGATGTGTGGAGTTTGGGAACCTTTCATAACCTCAACAATAGTGAATATTCCACATGTACCAATTACCTGAGTAGCATCTCATTTAATCCCCATATCAATGCCTCGGGGTGGGTATAACGATGGTGCCCATTTTGCACGTTAGGAAGCAGGTTTGGGTAACTTGTTCATGGTTTTCCCGTAAGTAGTGGTATCCGGATTGGAACCAGGCAGTCTGAGTCCAGACCCCCCTCCCCGCTTATCTCTAGACTACACTGTACCATGGTATCTGGTGTCAGAGTCCAGTAAAGAGCAGGATCACTGCCTCTACAAGGCATGGGAAAGGAGAGCGGGATGCATGAGGGAAAAGGCACACTTGGAAGCACAGAAGCAAAGCTGATGGGCTCTGTGTGGCAGGAGACAAGTCCATTTGCTAAGAGGAAGGGGTGAGGGGAGGGCAGGGAAGGGAGAGGGCATCAACCTGGCCAAATAGCCCTGAGGACCCAGTGCAGCTTCAGGGGGGAGAGAAGAACAAGAATCAACTCTTGACAAACCAGAAGCCTGGATACCCCTGAAACTGAGATCCCAGCGGGCTCTGCTATATCTGGGTCACGGCCCAGCCGGGTAAATGTGTGGGAAACCCTGACTGAGCCCCGGGCAGACCGGCCCCCTTACACAGCTGCGGTTTCCCTAGCAGGACCCAGACCACAGAACCAACAGGAAGGTTACCTTTAAAGAGAGGGCCAGGCGGTCCCGGATGTAGTTCTCTTCTGTTTTTGCCTTTTCAATTTCCTGCTCAAGTTCCAAACGCTGCTTGCCCACCTGTTGCATGATCTGCTCCCTCTCCTTTCGGAGTTCATTCTTTAAGGCTGCTATGCGTTCCTTGTACTCTTCATCCAGTTTCCTGGGAGGAGAAAAGACCAGCAAGCTGCCATCGAATCCCTCAGAGATCCCTATATGGATCTACCAAAAATGGAAACAGAGTCAAGCAACTTGAGAAAGTATCTAGTGTATCCTGCTTTCCCTTAGGCTTAGCAAGACCTCATTCACTCCAGCCAGGTGTGGCCAGGCGGGCTGAGCCCCACTGCCCTGGGCCAGGGTGCTGGGTGAGGAGGGACCTGGCCCTACCAGTCGCACCTGAGGTTGTACTCATTCCGTCGCTCGATGGCCGCATGATGATCGTCCACCTCTGAGGCCATGAGAGACTTGAGCTTCTCGGCTTTGTCCAGATCTAACCGTAGCTTCTCTTTTTCTCTGCCCACTTGATCAACACGCTCCCTAGAATCAGAAATAAACTGAGTTAAAGGGAAACTGTTTCTAAGTAACAAGTAGACCCCCAAATGCTCTCATCTGGCTTGTTTCAATACAAACACAAAACCAAGACAACCAAACACCTTCTAAAACAAGGACATTTCATAGCTCCCTTCAAAAACCTACATGCACATCCACACTCTCCCTCATTTTTACAGTAGAGAGATGATAGCAGATTAGCCACATCGGCATATGGAAAAAATGTATATCCCAGGCATCTCAGTGACTTTTGCTGGAGAAGTAGAAAAGGAAATGAATGAAACAACTCACAGCAAATGCCGGATCTCAGCTTTGAAGCTGGCCAGAGCCGCCTGGTGGATGCCGTTCTTGGTGACCAAAAGTTCATTTTCAAGAGCCAGTGTCAACTCTGTCAAGTTGATGTTTCCATCAAGGCTAAAATCCAAGGCCTGGAAATCAGAACAAGTTCAGGAGAATCACAAGTTCTATCCTCTGAAAGCAGAAAGTGAAGGTTAACAAACCCAGAGAGCTAAATGTATAGTCTAGAACAGCCGTGGGCAAACTACGGCCCGCAGGCCGGATCCTGCCCGTTTGAAATGAATAAAACTAAAAAAAAAAAAGACCGTACCCTTTTACGTAATGATGTTTACTTTGAATTTATATTAGTTCACACAAACACTCCATCCATGCTTTTGTTCTGGCCCTCTGGTCCAGTTTAAGAACCCATTGTGGCCCTCGAGTCAAAAAGTTTGCCCACCCCTGGTCTAGAAGATGGATGATTACACTTCTTTAGTGACGGTTAAGGAACAATCTTTAGTCCAGAACATAACTAGCTCTCTTCAAGGAAACCATAACATGGTTACTTACATGTTTTTAAAGAAAATGCTATCTGGCACTTTAAATAAACACAGTGGTATAATTCTAATCCTTACCAACCAGAGATTAGTTAAGGGCATTTCTCTTATCAATAATTTAGGGGTTAAAAACATAGAAAGTAGTTAGCAACAAATTCCTGGTTAAAGGGGGTAGGAAAAGTTATCTCTTATCTTTGAGGTTTTGTGAATATAAGTATCATTAAGGAGAAATCAAATAATCAAATCACAGTTTCAAAAAAACATCTGGAATTTTTCAACCCTTTCCCAATTTGTCATTTTTCTCCCACTTTTGCTGCCACACCTTCAGTATCTCCTGGCTGTTCTCAATGCCCTCTTCCTGCCAGGTGTCAAGTATTCTCTCCACTGATGCGTAGCCCATCCCATCATCCAGGCAGGAGAAGACCCGGAAGCCAGTGGTACTCGTCATCACCAATGGGGTTGTAGTACGTCGTCCACTCTCATCAAAAGACTGGAGGGAGAAAGAGACTTAAGCAGGCTCCGGCATTTCAACAGGTGTTGGTGAGACCAACACTGGTCAGTCCTGCCCACAAGGAGCAGAAGGATGTGTTTCTCTAATTTACACAAGGGGCGGGGCGAGCCACGCAGCCCCTTGGATCTCCTTTTCCCAAGTGAGCCTAGAATGCAAAGCTCTTCAAAAACAAGGAACTCTGGCAGAGAGTTCCTTGCTCTAGAAGAGAGGTGTCTCTACTTAGCACCAGGTTTTTTCTTCAGTTAACATTTAGGGGCATAACTAGTGGTCTTCCCACTCTATAATTTACGGTCATTTTGCAAACCCAATTTTTCCTTCTTAATGGCTTATTCTTTCTTTCTTATTCTTCTTTTGCCTCTCTTTCTCCTTAGTATTCTTCTTCAAATAACCGATTAAGTCATTAAAAATTATTCACATGGGTTTAACTTCTACTTGTAAAGAAACCACTTCTGCCTGGCTGGTGTGGCGCAGTGGTTGAGTGTTGACCAGGAAGTCACGGTTCGATGCCCAGTCAGGTTACATGCCCAGGTTGCGGGCTCAATCCCCAACAGGAGGCGTGCAGGAGGCAGCCAATCAATGATTCTCTCACTCCCTCTCCCTTCCTCTCTGAAATCAATAAAAATATATATTAAAAATAAAGAAAAAAAGAAAAGAAATCACTTCCCATTTATTTCTTACCTGCATGGAGAGATGCCTTTTCAACTGTCTATATGGAGTAGATGCTGACGGTGTAAGGGATTTCCCATTTTTGAACAAGCCGTAGAAAAAATCTTCTACACTCATTGTACCATCAGGATCAAGATTATGGAAGACTTCCTCAAGCATCTAGAAAAAGGCGACCAAATGTTTTAAATATTTCACTTAAAATAACACAAGGCCCAGAGTACACTGCTGGCCAATAGAAATTGGCACCAATGTTGATCCCAGGACTCCAGAAATATAACATGCCCCTTTATTCTAGTTTCACTAAATTTACTTTCCTTTCTAGTAATATATCCTTCCACCTCACACAAACTAAAGTCCATCTCAACATCTTCATAATCTTTACACAAGTTAGCAATCACTGTTTTCTCTTTTACTCACACTTTTAAAGCAGGTAATCTTTCTTTCTTTCTTTCTTTTTTTTTTTAATTTCAGAGAGGAAGGAAGAGGGAGAGAGGGATAGAAACATCAATGATGAGAGAGAATCATTGATTGGCTGCCTCCTGCACACCCCCCACTGGGGATTGAGCCTGCAACCTGGGCATGTGCCAGACCCAGAATCAAACCATGACCTCCTGGTTCATAGGTTGATGCTCAACCACTGAGCAATGGTAGCCAGATGAGCAGGTAATTTTTTAAAAAATATATATTTTATTGATTTTTCACAGAGAGGAAGGGAAAGGGATAGAGAGTTAGAAACATCGATGATAGAGAAACATCGATCAGCTGCCTCCTGCACACCCCCTACTGGGGATGTGCCCACAACCAAGGTACATGCCCTAACCAGAATCGAACCTGGGACCTTCCGTCCGCAGGCTGACGCTCTATCCACTGAGCCAAACCAGTCAGGGCAAGCAGGTAATCTTTAATGTTACTATATATCATTCTCACAAATTAAAAAACTACTTAAAAATATAGCTTCCTAATGATGTAATAGTAAAAGTTAGTTGGACATTGAGTCATTGTACTGTGGTTACTCTACATAATATTGTATGTATATAAAATTTTTGAAACTGGTATGTTAGATAGAATTTGGTCTGGGGCAGATAGCAATGACCTAAAAACTTAGGTCTGAAACCCATGACTTGGGATTTAGAATGTTATTTGGAACGGTACTGCGTGTTTTGTGTTTTTATTTGTTTTATGCTTTAGCATGGGAGAAATGAAGATTGGAGGGGAGGGATTTTGTGTGTGTGCAATAGAAGGATTTTAGGAGGTGTAAAGAGAAGGGAATTTTCCTGGCCCTTTTGCAACCCCTGGCAGTAATCAAGTGGTCCTCATCATATAATGGGGGCAGAGGACACTGGACTACAGTCTCTGCCACAGGCTTGCCTAAGGAGATGGTTTGTTTCCCAGCTCAACAGAGGAAAGGAAAAGAGAATAAAGCACATGAATCGCTGAAACACAAAACAGGGAGGGGAGGTAAAGACCTCTTTCTCCTCCTGGCAGTTGGATTCCTCTTTTCTATGGGAACATGCCTCCAAGGAATAAAACAGAGGTCACCGGAGGATCTTGTTAAGTGTGGTCTCCGATATAGTTCATGTGGGGGTGGGACCTGAGATTCTGCAATTCTAACAAGATGCCCACGTTGCAAAGTAATAAACAGAATAAACATCAAATTTACTCTTATTGCATTAGAGCCTACAATTAATTGGGTCCACTCTAACAAAGGCCTCTTTGTAACATGTCCTTAAATTTTCAATATTCATTTCCTAAGTCTGGACTATAACTCGGATTCCTGTCATCTCAGAATTGTTGATTTTATTCTTCATGTAATTGCTTGAGGCATTCTTTCATGTCAAATGCCTTTTTTTTTTTTTTCCAATTCCTATCCAATAGGAAACAGCTGTCCCTGTTTCTATTTATAGCCACTTCCTCTGGAGAGGACTCTAAAACAAGAAAACCATTCTTAAGGGTGGAAATCTTTGGCAGAAGCAATGGCTCCAAATAGAGAATTGTGTTATGAAACTCTAAGGTATTTGGGTCAAGATTCTATGTTTGCTAAGATCCCTTAGCTTCTCAGTCCCTTCTTATCAACCAAAAGTACACGTTCTTAGAGGACTAGGCCTTCCAGACCATCAAACCAGAAGTCACAGTAAAATCCGGCTCCGGTTAACTGCAGTTGACAAGCATGTTGTGGCTCTAACCTTAGACCCACACTGCTTAACCTTGTGACCTTGGCCAAATCCATGCATAGCTTCCAGATTGCCTAAACACCCATCACCTGATCCATTCCAAGGGAGCCCTGCCAGTGACTGTGCATGGGGCAGTGGGCAAATGGTGAATCAAAAGGATGTGGATTCAGAAGGGGGTGGATGAGCAGCGTTGGGCTGAAAAGAACACAAGTCAACTGAGCAACTGGGGCACCCCCTGCAGCCTGTGCAACAGGAGCCAAACTTAGACCCCTGAGGACATTCTTACTCCCCAGGCTACACCAGCCAGATCTTTGGATGGCTGATTTCCCCATGTGTAAGTTGCAAAATAATGCACTAGAATAGGAACCATGAACCCCAAATACCCAGAGAGATCAGAAGGTGATATATGAGGCAGAGTGGTCCTGAGACGTTAGAAAGTAGTGCTCTTTAAAGTAGTGAACTGTACGCATGAGGGCATGCCCTGCCCAAAGGCCCTAGGCACTTCCTGCTGCCAGCAAATGGAGCCAAATCTAACCTTTAAAAAAACTTCCTGATTTAAAAAAGGGCAGCAAAAAAGTTCAATTTCTAAACATTGCGCAGGCCAAGTAAAATAGCCTCTGGGCCATGTTCGGCATCTAGGGCGACAGTTTACCATCCCTGCCCTATCGATGTCCTTGCTTCTGGAAGGCAGAGGCCAAGTTCCAGCCATAAGCCAGTGCCGCAGTCCCTCCTCATGGTAACAGCAAGCGGCAGTGATCTCACTCTGTATCTATGAAATGAGGAATAACTAAACCTAAAATTGCTTTCCGTTGTAAAATTCTAGGATTCCAAATCGTATGTTGATGAGATCATCTTGAACTCTCAGCTCCTCTGTGGTAAGTACAAGCTATATTCAATATGCAATCTTTTCCTCGGCCTCCGATGAGAGGAAAATAAAGAAATGGGCAGCTTCTTGCACTAGGTTCTGGAAACTCCACCACAAAAGATGCAACTGCCCGCAAGTGGCTGCAGTTTATTCCAAGAGTTGTTCTTAGATAAACAATCCATGCTTGTGCAATTATTTCTTGGCAAAAACAACCTAAGGTTGTACATACTGCACTGGTTTATAATTTAGGAGGATGCATTTCATTTTATGACTCAACAGCCACCACTGAAAAATAAATCATTGAAAAGGTAGTCAAACGGCATGTAATGGTCACATGCACAAGGAAGAAGGGAAAAAATACTCCGCAAGCCAGGCTGCTTGGAAGCTTTGATGATAAATCTTTTTATGGTTTAGGAAATGCTACTTATCCCTGAGCAAATGGACAGCAAGGCTTCAAATATTAATATAATCAAATATTCCCAAAGCTACAACTGAGCCCTAACCTCTCTAAGTCCCTCCAACCCTTATTTCCAGCTCTTTGAAAGACATATCTTGGAATTATTTATATTCTTATGTTTCAAAACTATTCCTGTGCCCAGTCCTGCCTGTACTCTTCTTAAATGTTCAGAAAATGCAAAGCTCACAATTTTACCAAACAAGAGTTTTGGGTGCTCCTTCAAACTCTCCTGTGTATCTTCAAAACCACCAAACTACCCTTTTCCATTTCTTCATGACTAGAATATTATCATGGCCCCTACGGTCTCCTAACCAGGTGCTCTCTTTACTCCAATACGCCCACCGAAAGACGCCCAGACCACCCTCAGCAAGTCAGTTTTTCCTACATGTTAGTCTGCTGCAGCACCCAGGCTGGTATTGGGATCGCTCCAAAAACCTAACCTCATCAGCCTGGCCTTCAAATTATTTCCCCAACTCAAATCTGTCTGCTTACTCCTTCCTCTACACCTTCCCCACATTCACACTCATGAATGCCACGTCTACAAAGATAGGGTGCTCCCCAAAATGTAGACACACACTTCGAATAATTATAAAGGCCGTGTTTATTAAAATACATTTCACTTTCAAAACTGAGCTACTGGCTGTTAAAGTGTGTCTACATTTTGGGGGTACACCCTGTATATCTGACATCATGGCTGTACTGAGCTAGTATCTGACTATAATATATGGAGTAAAGTGAGGGGTGCAGAGTACGGGCTCAGTTAAGTGTCAGCTATTGTCTGTTTTTCTTTTCTACAACACAGCATGAGCTCCTCGAGGACAGAATCGTCGTGGCTGACTTCCCAGAAAAAAGAGAAGGAAGTCTCCGTAACATACTGCAGGAAGCCAAAACATGGCTGTTCCCAGGCGGGGGCCAGCTGAGCTTTTATCCTGATTACTATTCACGAATAAATATGTGATGCCTGGCTCACCTCTCCATCGACATTCTGCAAACCATACTGCTCACAGATGGAGACCAGCTTCTTTCGGTTCAGGTGACCATCACGGGTAATCCCCAAATCTTCACAAACCTCCTGCAGCTTCTCTTCTATCCAGTCTTGGGGAGGGGCAGACCCACTTTGGGAGGCATTCAAATCATCTGGGTTCCAAAATCTTAGCTGGCCTGAAATAAAAGCATACATTGTGTTATCTCCAAGGGGATTACAAAGGAAGAGACCTATCCTCAAAGAAAAAAAATGTGCTTTTTTTGAAAATAAAAAATGATAGAAAAGGCTATGAATGCTGATTCCATTTTAATTCTGAGGTTCAAATGCAATGGAACCACTGGTTCTCGGGCTGCCCCTAGGGCAGTGGTCGGCAAACTGCGGCTCGCGAGCCACATGTGGCTCTTTGGCCCCTTGAATGTGGCCACGAAGTTTGAATCACACTGTATGTGGGCGCTTACATGTGGTATTTTGTGGAAGAGCCACACTCAGGGGCCGCAGTTTGCCGACCACTGGCCTAGGGCAATCAGGCATTTTTTTGTTTTGTTCACTGGCAGTCATACCCGTGGAAGAAGTAGCTCTCATGCGGCCAGGCCTAGGGTCTAGTCCTGTGTCAGTACAACGGAAAACATGTATAGCCTCAGGCTTTGTGACAGCGGGAGAGAAGGCTGGGTGAGAGGCATTCCATGGAGCTTTATCCACCCTGCCTCGACTAGGGCTCCCTTATCATCTTCATTATCTCCACTCTCGTCTGGTCTAAGCACTAGAGAGTCTAGTCTGGCACTGCTTTTACTGAGAAGAAAGTAATTTCGTGATAATTATCATTAAAAAATCATGTCTCAAGATTAGTTTGTTCCAAAATCTTTACACCTATAAATATTTTGACTGGCAAAACAGTCCAACTCCAAAGAATAAAAGGTTGTGAGCTGCAAATTATTAATTATCTATATATTAAGGATAACTTCTATGTAAAGACTTAAGGATAAAACTACTTATTTAAATATAAAAATTTATTTTCTATTAAAAGTTCTCACTTCTAGTTACATTTTCGACTTACCCATTTATTAGAGAGAGTCTTTAAAGTCATTACTTAAACATGAGATAATCACTGGCACAATTTTGTGTGCCTGGAAGAACTTGGAGGGTTGAGAAGAGCATGTAGTGTTATTTATCGAAGAGATTAAGCCCATTACTGCTGTATGTTTCCAGGCTGGAGACCTAGAGAACACGCTGTAATTGCACTTAAGTACAGATAACCTACCTGGCAGGGTGGGCTGTGCAGCCAGCTGAGGTTCTGTCAGCTGGGTCACAGTGCCATCTGCTGGCCAGAAGTGTTTTGATTTTTTTTAAAAAATTGAATTTATTGGGGTGACATTGTGCTTAATAAAACCATACATGTTTCAAGTGATGTTTCTTAAATACATCTAAAACTTGTCAAGAGATAGGTCACTATTTAATTCAGGACTGTTCACAGATTAATTTTGAAGTTATCGATATAAGAGAGTAATTAACCGTAGTGAAATTCTACATCTTAGTTCTCCTATCTTGCATGATGTTAAAAGTTAGTATTTTAGAACTATAAGCTGTCAATTGGGAATGAATTTTCGTTGCTGCTGTTCTTAAGGTTACTTCTCAGCTGGCCTCCAGCATGCAAGGCTGTTAGAAGAAGGCCAGGAGATGCAGGAAGGGGGCTGTGGAGAATGCCTGTGAGCGGCAGCCCGTCCTTCCCTGACACACACTCAGCTCCTACCTTCTGCTTCGTACTCCTCGCTGGGTTGCGTCTTCCAGTGCTAGAGAAGGCAAGAGAAGAAGATCAGTGCCCATGAAAGCAACATCTGCATGAGTCACATGACCCAGGACCCCCTAGTGCAGTGATGGCGAACCTTTTGAGCTCGGCGTGTCAGCATTTTGAAAAACCCTAACTTAACTCTGGTACCGTGTCACATATAGAAATCTTTTGATATTTGTAACCATAGTAAAACAAAGACTTATATTTTTGATATTTATTTTATATATTTAAATGCCATTTAACAAAGAAAACTCAACCAAAAAAATGAGTTCGCGTGTCACCTCTGACACGCGTGTCATAGGTTCGCCATCACTGCCCTAGGGCTTTCTCCTCAACCAGCCTCCTAAGAAACACCACACAGCCTTCTGCAGCGTTTCACCAAGGAACTGCCTTTCATGATTGCGAAGTCGCTTATTCCACAGCACAATCTGCCACAACCAGTAAAACCACGCCAGAGAAATATTCAGATCCCACCCACCAATGAGGGTTTGAATGCACGCATGGATGAATGTGTTCCTCAACAGATGTGTACTGGGTGCCAGGGACTTTGCTCCATCTTTGGAATACAACTATGAAGAGGATGAACATATTTCTTGCCTCGAGAAATTTACATGCTAATGCAGACATGCAGGCAAAACATAACAAAAACCAAAAAAATCAAACCAGGAAGTACAATACGATAGTATATTAAGTGCTATGATGGGCAAGTTCAAGATGCTATGAGGGTACATGGGATCCTTCAGACTTGGGAGATCTGGGGAGACTTCCTAAAGAATCAATTATCTAAACCAGGGGTCCTCAAACTTTTTAAACAGGGGGCCAGTTCACTGTCCCTCAGACCGTTGGAGGGCCGGACTATAGTTTAAAAAAAAACTAGTCGGCTGCTAAGCAACAGGCAGCGGCGCCAAAACACCCGGCGGGCCGGATAATGTTTTTGGCGGGCCACATGTGGCCCGCGGGCCGTAGTTTGAGGACCCCTGTAAACTGAGACCTGAAGGATGAGCAGGAGACAGCCAAGTAAAAAGTAAGAAGCAGTTACTGTTTGCTGAAGCATGGAGGCAGGAATGAGCCTCGGGTGTTTGTGGCACAGTAAGAGGGTACAGATGCAACCCAAAAAAGGTAGGCTAGAAAGGTCCAATATACATTGCCAGTAACTTACACTAAAAGCAGTGACATTGATCTGCCCTGGGCCATTTTATCCCCTTAGCATATGCTGTTACTACTACTGGGCCTTTTCCACGTCACAGCATAGAGTTGTGGCTTGTGTTGGTGCACAACTGCACTTGGCCAAGGACACAAGTCAGAACCCCAATCCAGGCGTTGCTCCACTGGCCAACACGGCACAGGTCTGCTCCAACCAGGGCAACGAGTAGGTCCGCAATGGCCTTGGCCTCGCCAGTGAGCTGCCTAATCACTGCCTTTGGGAGGTTCTACAACCATCGAAGGAAAACTCACTGAGGAAAAAAAAGGTGCAATCCGCCCCCCGCCTCCCCCTTCAAAACCTGGCTGCTGTCTCAGCAAAGAGCCAACTTTAGGAATGAAGCTGCTTTTGACATGTTACCAAGCCCCCTCTCTGTGCTGGCTGATTTCTTAGAATCCTGAAATAAACTCAACCGGAAAAAGAGCCTCGTTACTCCTGTCTCCAGAGCTTGGATTGCTCATGGCAGGCAGTGTGCGACCTACGATTCTTAGATTACAGGTTGACTTTCAGTAGCTGTTCAAGTTGATATGAGTAAGCACACCGACTTTGTTCCTCTTGACACTCAGCCCTCTCCTCTTAGCTGAAGGACAGCCATCCAGGGCGTCACAGTTCCATGCTTTACTTAGAAACATACTGAAGATAACACCAATTCAGAGAGTTCCCCACATTTTCCCCAAATTCTGAACTGAAACCACACACTGACAATGCTGAGATGGATTATTCCTGGCATACAGAAAAGACATCCAAAGGCAGTAACTCAAAATATGTAAGTCACGACAACTCATTCAGGTTACAACTGGAACTCACTGATACACATGGTATCAGTGGAAACTGAATTAGGGTGCAATGTGATTTCTGCTTGTTTGTTTGATTACAATTTTATCAGCCCACATTTCCACATGAAGACATATCCAGCCTGGCGGATGTCCATCGTGGTGGGTGTGGGGAGGGAGCAGTGGAGTAAATAGTTCTCCATAGATTTTCTGGTATTATTTTTTTGGCAGAACTCAACTGTTTGTATATTAAAAGTTTTAAATCAATAAAGTCCTATTAATAAAAGCACCCTGCCTGTCTGTCCTTCCCTATTTATTTCCTCATCCAACAGAGCAAATTATTTATTTACTAGAGGCCCGTTGCATGAAATTTGTACATGGGCAGGGTCCCGAGGCCTGGCCAGCGATTAGGGCCGATTTGGGCCTTCTGGCTGCTGGCCGGGGCCTTCCTTCTGGCTGCCAGCTGGGCGTTCTTTCATTCTGCGCCACCCCCTGGTGGTCAGCACACATCATAGCAAGCAATCGGTCTCCGGGTTGAACTTCCACGGGGACAATTTGCATATTAGGCTTCTACATATATATTTATTTTTTCAGAGCAAATGATTTAAATTCTCATACTACTTGGGCACTCCTAATGGGAAAACTCATTCAGCATTGTAAGTTGGACACACCCAAAAATAAAATCCATTAATTCCACCTACAGCAAGTAAAAATGTGTTTCTATGGTCTAAGAATCATTTGGTTAAAATAAAACCTAACAACTCACAAGCAGGGGATGGTTTTAAACAGCACAAACTGACAGGAGAAATGGCAAATGAATATCACTACGTATGAGTAATAAAAGGAGCTCCACTGGGATATAGCTGGAAAAATGCAAACACACCTTCAAAAAACCCTTGGTAACAATTCCTAAAGCAACAAGGTGTGTATCTTGCTACATAAAAGTTTATTGTTTACATTTGCTCACTTCTCAATGCATTTTAAAACAGTGAGCAATTAGTTCAGAGAAGCAAGAGGCCACACTATTCTGTCTCCAACATCTCCCGAGGCTATGGGACTGGCTGCCTGTATCTGATGCAATCCCCAGGGTGGTTCTTCCCTGCACCTTCTTTTTCTGACTCTCACCCTTAACTAATAAGAGATCGAGTTGTGAGGGTTACTGCATGGATGTAGGAGCTGGACTGCCAGGCTCTGAATCCTCGTTTACCTACCGGGTTGGGTTTGGACAAGTCTCTTATCCTTTCACCTCAGTTTCCCGTCTATAAAATGGGAATAAAGTAGGACATATTTCACAGAGCTGGGTAAAATGCTTAGAATTGTTCCCGGTACATAATAAGCACTATATAAAGTCTTATTTTTATTGGACATGTGTTTATGTAATACATATCGAATGTATGTTTGCAATTTTTTTCATTACATTTAAACTTAAAGCACTAATTTGGGTGGCCCTGGGGAGGTATCATTATTCGTATCAATTTGTAAGAAAAATGCCAAGTCTCCAGTAAATATGCACAGAATACAAACAGACAATTTGCATAAGAGGCAACACAATTAAACAAATGCCAAAAGCAGCATTCTTAAGATAGCCTAATCCAGTGGCATCAGGTACAGCGCAACCTCCTAAACCCCAGGGAAAGGTTCATTTCCACAGCAATCAAAGAAGTAGAAATGAAACCCAAGGAATCATTTTGTTCCCACTGAATTAGAAAAGTAAGATGGGACTCCTATTACCATCAAGACCATAATTTAAAATAGGCCTGTTTATATGTTACTGGTAGCAGTGTAAATGGATATTACCCTTTTAGTAAAGCAAATGACTTAATGTATCAAAATCCATAAAAATATTCATACTCTTTGACTCAATAATTTCATATGGTAATAAAACCAAAAGAAGAATAAAAACATAGCCATAAATATATACATTTAGCATTTTTTTTGTAAGAGCACAATATTGAAAACAATTTAAATATTCAACATTGGGGCATAAAAGTATAATGATCTATCATAACATTCATTAAAAGAATAATCATAAAACCATGGAGGAGCATGGAAAAATGTCTAATGAAATGTTACATGAAAGACCATAACAAAAATGCTATCTACACTATGATTACCGCTGGCAAAAATATTTATACAATTAGACAAAGACTGGAAGGAAACAGAGACAATGAAGTGGATACATTTGCTTGACGGACTACAAGAAACAATCTTATTTCCTTTACCGTTATAAATGTTGTTTATGCAACATAAATGGGTACAACTTCACTATTCCTTCCAATTCTCACTGAATTTCCTGTGACATGGGGTGGGAGAAAAGGAACGTCTGCTCCCTGTGGTATTTACAATGCAGTACCTGTAGTGTCCTCTAGCGCTGTGGCCCATGACGGAGAGAGACGCGTGGTGGGAGGCCAGGTGCTGGTCAGGAGGGTAAACCCTGCTGGAACCAGTGCTGCCTCAGCCTACAGAGGCCTACCGTGGGGGCTGTGACCATGGCCATCCAAAAGAGGCATTCTTAAGCTAGCCTAACCCAATGGCCTAGGAACAGCAAAACTTCTAAACCCCAGGCAGCACCAACAGCTTAAATGGCTTCACACAAACCCTTAGGGCCAGGGGTGGCAGTGTAAGGGATAACTTGTTTTAAAATCTCTAGGGGTGCCCTAGGGGTTTGGCTCAGTGGACAGAGCGTCTGTGGACTGAAGGGTCCCAGGTTCGATTCTGGTCAAGGGCATGTACCTTGGTTGCGGGCACATCCCCAGTAGGAGGTGTGCCGGAGGCAACTGATCGATGTTTCTAACTCTCTATCCCTCTCCCTTCCTCTCTGTAAAAAATCAAGAAAATATATTAAAAACAATAAATAAAATCTTTAGGGGTAACAACTTTCCAAGCATCCCTCCCCGGCCCTGTGTGAGAAACATAGGTCCAGCGAGGAGCAGCCCTGCTAGGGAGAAGCAAGCTTATGCTAAGGGCTACATTTTCGTTCCAAGACCACCTCACCTGGAGAGTTTGCCGTCCCGATAAAGAGGGAGG